ATTTGGACAGGTTCAGCCCTCACATTGTGATCTTTTTGTTTCTCTGCCCCAACCTCTTTCATCACACTCATCCGAGTAGGTGGGTGACCCTCGGGGATGCTCGGTAAACAGAGAACCTCGCAGAATCTCCCTCAAGTGTCGATATATGGATTGGATTGTGATTGGAGAATTGTAAAAGTGAGGCTAGAAGATACTAGGTAAAACTTGGCAATACTTGAAAAGAAGACTGGATAAGAATATCAAGAAATCAAGAAGTGAAGGAATTGGCAAGAAAACGTAGATTTCTGGAGAGGGGAAAGGCAAGGAAGAAAGAAAGGAAGAAAGAAAGGAAGAACGAGCAATTTCTCGGAATTCTATGGTTTCTGAACCATCGAATTCCGGGAAATTGATCTAACCACTCAGCTAAATCCGGTGCCTTAATTTGCCAAGAGAAAGAAGGAAAGACAAGAAAGAAAGAAAGACAAGGAAGAAGGAAAGACAAGGAAGAAAGTAAGAAAGGAAGGAAGAAGGAAAGAAAATGAAGAAAGGAAGAAAGAAAGAGAGCCAAAGTTGACTAGTCCACCTAGCTAATCGATTTTGTGTAAGAGTTGCTAAAAATTATCTCTAAAGGAAACAGTTTTCAAAATTTAAGCATTATTTGCTTTAGCTCAGAAACGTGAAACATATGTTTGAATAGAGATCGAAAAAAAATGGATACTCTTGAGATATCGAATGTCTGTTCATAGCTGAACTAAGCAATCGTTTCCCTTTCAGGTTAATTTGATTCGATTTTCGGCTACGAGGAATCAGATCAAGATCTAAATTAGGAAATGTGATCAGAGAAGATAAAAGTGATCGATTTTATGTGAGTTTGATCATCATTGGGTAAGTAAAGAAGGAAAATAGCTAAGTAAAGAAGTTGTAGTAAAGAAGTTGTAAGTAAAGAAGTTATAGTAAAGAAGTTATAGTAAAGAAGTTGTAGTAAAGAAGTTATAGTAAAGAAGTTATAGTAAAGAAGTTATAGTAAAGAAGTTATAGTAAAGAAGTTATAGTAAAGAAGTTGTAGTAAAGAAGTAGTAGTAAAGAAGTTGTGGTAAAGAACTTGTAAGTAAAGAACTTGTAAGTAAAGAAGTTGTAAGTAAAGAAGTTATAGTAAAGAAGTTATAGTAAAGAAGTTGTAAGTAAAGCAGTTGTAATAAAGAAGTTGTAGTAAAGAAATAAAGAAATAGCTAAAAGCTTTTAAGAACTGATTGGATATTTTTGATTGAATTGATAGGGATGAAGCGTTTCGAAACAGAAGCGGTGTGACTTAAATCTGTAGCCTTAAGCCTTAAGCCTTAAGCCTTAAGCCTTAAGCCTTAAGCCTTAAATCTGTAGCCTTAAGCCTTAAGCCTTAAGCCTTTAGCCAGAGAAAGGTACTTCACTATCAAGAAATGGTAAATCAAACAAGTTAAACCTGGAATTGATAATATTGAGAATAATGAACATTTTAAGATCAAAATTATTTAGGTCAATCAGATAAAATACAGATGTAGAGATTCAAGAAAGGCTACTAATCAAAAACGAAACACTTCGAAATGATCATCAAGTGATTGAGTGCCGAGGCTGGCACGGGACTGTCCTCGTGCCCGATTTTGAATAGAAAAACGGAAAGGGTATGCAGGGGATGAGAGGAAGTGGGAAGAGAGGGAAGAGAGGGAAAAGGAGGAATGGAGGGAAGAACAGCGGGGGAGAGGACAGTTCGTTCTTTCCCTCTCTCGGCTCTGTCACCCACTCGAAAGAAGCCGCTCCCCTTTCCCCGATCTTTCTCGATCATTGCGCAATCTAGAGATATGGTGATAGATCTTGAAGTTGGGTTGAAGAAACTTTTAGTAACGACTCGATGACTAGTAATGAGTAAGGGTTGAACGATTCTTTTCTTGAAGTAATGACTGACCGATGACTAGTAATGAGTGATCTGATTGAACGACTCTTGTATAGTACTGACTATTTGTTTGAAAGGCATTTCAAATGCCTCTGATGCCTAAAATCTCTGAGAAATGAGCCCTGATCGTAAAACTATAGATTTTTCTACATTACCATGAGAAATGACTTGCCCAGTTTCAATTTCTGCCTAATTACAAGGATTTGTAATTCTCAAGACTTCTACAAGCCAGCTTTTAGTGAAAAAGGAAGAATTCTATACTTTCTACATTACCTTGTCAACAAATTGTCAATTATGTCCTACTCTATCTACTATATATAATACAGAAGTGATGGCTGTCCGTCTGTCAGTCTTTGGTTCCTTATTTCTCTAAATTTGGTTCCTTGTCTCTCTAAATTTGGTTCCTTATCTCACTAGATCTGGTTCCTTGTCTTTATATCTGGTCCCTTGTCTCTCTGAATTTGGTTCCTTGTCTCTCTGAATTTCGTTCCTTATCTCTCTAAATTTGGTTTTTTATCTCACCAAACTGGGTTCCTAATCTCTTTAAATGCGCAGCCATTGGGGCGCGGCTTAGATTGGTCGGAAAACGTGGATCTCTCCAGTGGAAAACGCGGATTTTAGTGAGTTTTATACAATATATTATCAATCATGCTCTACTCTTGCAAAAGATAAATCAAATTTGGTGACTAAGCTGAAAGTATCTTTAAAATAAACAAGTAAAACCCTGTTTTATCCCAAAATCGATCTTTATATTTAGCCTTTTTCTTTTATTGCTGTTCCTCCAACCCACTTGAGATGATCAGAGCAATGTGTTTGTTCCGGTGAATCATTTTTGCTGAAAGGGCGTGGGAAAGGCGTTGAAATCTTGCGATTTCATTCTATTTTTGACGAAAGATGACTGAAAGCTGAACTCCTAGCACAGTTTTCGCGATTTTAGAGAGGGCTCTTCAAGATAATGGGCTAATTTAAGTCGTTTGTTTGCTAATTTAAGTGTTTTGTTGTTAAATTAAGTGTTTTGTTGTTAAATTAAGTGTTTTGTTGCTGATTTAAATGATTTGTGGCTAATTCAAGTGATTTGTTGATATTTTCCATTGAAATGTCATGATAATGAACTCTTGAATATCATAGTTCGGAAAGTTGCAGCAAGTTGTCTTATCAGCAAGTTGGGAACAGTTTTAAACTGATTTTGAACGAAATTTATTGGAAAGCCAATTCAAAGTGCTTTCTTCAGCTCAAATGTTTGAAGATTAAAACGTTTTTTGGTAGTAAATTGAAAAATGTGAGTTCTACAATGAAAATGAGTTGATTTGACTAAGCTATACTTTAAAATGGTAACTTTTTACAAGCTTCGAAGGCTTTCTGCAGCCTTTAAAGGATTTTTGCAGGCTTCAAAGGCTTTCTACAAGCTTCAAAGGCTTTCTACAAGCTTCAAAGGCTTTCTACAAGCTTCAAAGGCTTTCTACAAGCTTCAAAGGCTTTCTACAAGCTTCAAAGGCTTTCTACAAGCTTCAAAGGCTTTCTACAAGCTTCAAAGGCTTTCTACAAGCTTCAAAGGCTTTCTACAAGCTTCGAAGACTTTCTACAAGCTTCAAAGACTTTCTACAAGCTTCAAAGACTTTTTGCAGACTTTCTACAAAACCAAACTAATTCAAATATATTTAAAATTCTTTTTAATTCAATCAATTTATTCTTGAAAATGTCTAGAAGCTTCTTAAATTCTTAAAATTCTTCAAAATATCTAGAAAAATGTTGATAAACTTCTAGAAACCAGTCCACAAGTCCACAAGTGACCAAAATAGAGGCCTAATCTCTAGTTATTTGTTTTCAAATCGAATCCTTAACGAAATAAGCCTAAAGATGAATTTCAAGTCTTCATAAAGAATTTATAAATGAATATTTTTAATCTATAAACTCATTGATTCAAAAATTTCTTATTTCTTTTACAATTTGATTGCCATCAGCAATCATAAAGTCAAAATTGAGACTATAAACGGCTAGAAAAAGATTTACGACAATTTCTCCCCAAAAAAATATTCACTCTGATAGTGAATATTTGAATATCTATTTGGTAACTATTTGGTACCTATTTGGTAACTATTTGTTGCCTATTTCTTACCTATTTGATACCTATTTGTTACCTATTTGGTAACTATTAGATACCAGTTTGGTATCTATTTGTTATCTATTTGTTATCTATTTGATACCTATTTGGTAACTATTTGGTATCTATTGGGTTGGGGAATTGAAAACTGCGGGTTATTGTCATTTGTCACAGTTTGAGCACTTTCTTCAAAAGAAACCCATTTTGGTGTCAATGGAAAAGTTGTAGAGAATCAAAAATAGAGCTTATATCCAGATTTTCACAACGATTCAAAAACTGGTTTTCTAGAAATGCCAAATTTACGAATTTTCACAAAACTTGCATTTTAAGCGAAACTACTAAGTGTATCTTTTTGGAAATTTGCCTATAAGCCTAATTTTTGATTCTCTACAACTTTTCTATTGACACCAAAATGGGTTTCTTTTGAAGAAAGTGCTCAAACTGGGCTGAGAGCTGACATCTCCAGTCCTCCATTTTTGAGTCTCACACTTGTCTCACACACAAACCAAAATCCTACTACGAAAGAGGAATCGCCTGTAAAATGGGCAGAAGTCGTCAATAATAATGGAAATTATTTGGAATGAATTGATGGTTTTATGTTGAATAAATTTTAGTTCAAAGGCCGGCAGTTTTCAATTCACCAACCTAATATTTTATACCTATTTGGTAACTATTAGATACCAGTTTGGTATCTATTGATACCTACTTGCAACAGGCAATAGTTCAGAAACTACTTATTATCTCAAAAATTTTATTTTGTTGTTGTCATTTTTCGGAAAGTGACCGTGAGATTACCCCCCGTTTTTGCTATTTTTCAATCAATCCGATAGCCTTTCCTCTCTTTTTCTCTCGTCATAAACGAGAAAAAAAAAGAAAACAGAGAAAGAGAAAGCGCACGAGAAATATGGATTCTCACAAACATTTTTATCAATTCAATATCTCTGATCATTTTTTAGAATCTTTTTGAATTGATTTGAGAATTTTTAGGAGTAAGAAATGAGCAAACCGATCCTTTATAGTTATTGGAGAAGCTCGTGCTCGTGGAGAGTGAGAATTGGTGAGTGAAGAGTCTGTTTTTTGCAAAAATTGCTTTGACTATCTTTTACTTTACTTTATAACCTTGAAAATCTTTGCAAATTCTTTTAAAATTCAAAATTGATGTTTTTAAAGACAGAACTTGGGAGAAAGGCTCTTCGTCTCTTTTTCTGCCTCTTTTATCGACCGCGATGATAAGCCTTCTTGGCTCAGTGGTAGAGCACCGGCCTGCGAACCGGGGAATCAAGGGTTCGAATCCCCCTGGCTCCGTTTTTTCCTCATTATTTGCTTAATTCTTTTGTAAACGAAAAGCTGAGTAAGAAGGGGAAAAATAGAGGAAAAGAAATTGAAATAGTAGGTAGAAATTTATCGAAATCTCCTTTATAGTGAAAGTTTGAATAGTTTATTGTTTAAATCTTCTTCTAGTTTAAATCTTCTTGCTTTTTAAGGTCCATTGTTTAATTATTCACTGCTTTCGAAAAAGATACGCAAAGCTGGATAAAAATAAGTAATATTTGACTCAATTTGCAAATCTTCTATCTACCATTAACGAAAATCAAGAATCCAATTCAATTTCAGCTCTCAACCTCAAGGAAATCGATTACGATTATCGAACGGTGAATCTCCTGTCGAAGGAGGCTTTGGTGAGTTGTTTGCCTGAGTTTGAGACTGAATTCGTTTAAGATTATGATTTATTATAGTGCTAAGCCTAGAATTTCCAGGAAGAACCCGAATTCGTGAAGGCAAATCCGGCAAAAAAGGTGCCCGCTTTTGTCGACAATGGGAAATCGATCACCGAATCGCTGGCTATCATTGAATATCTAGAGGTAAAATTTCTTGAGAAGTAAAGAAGTTTTCTGATTTCCCAAAAAGTATTTCAAAATTCAAAAACCCCTCAGCTAACCTTGGCTAGGAAAAAGTAACCAAAAAAAAGTAGTTTTTCTCTAGGAAAAGTACCCAGATCGCTTTCCACTGCTTCCGAAGGATTTGGCGCAGAGAGGACAAGCAAGAGCTGTCGCTTTGCAGGTAACTTTTAAGCAAAGTTGTTTTAAAGGTAATTTTCCAGACCTCACTTCTAGCCTTGCCAGCCTGGTTTTGCTATAGGTCAGCTAAAACAAGTACATGCCCTAGATTTGTTATAAGTTTAGGACATGGTTCTTGGCTTGACTCAGATTAGCGTTACCTGGCCAAGACTGGATCTAGATCTAGATCCGGATCTAGTTTACAGGATCTAGATCTAGATCCGAATCGTTTACAGGATCTAGATCCGGTCGGAACATCGTAATGTTTTAAGAATATTATTTGCTTCAGATTGCTTCAGAAACATCCTATTTCAGATCGCGGCTGGCATTCAACCTCTACAAAATCTCCGAGTCCTCAAATATCTGAATGCCGAAGAAGCCGGGAAAGGAGCCAAGGTGTAGCTTTGAAAGATCTGCAAATTTTTAGCCAAAGCAATAAGCAATTTAAGTATTCTTTGCTGTTTGGTTGAATGTACTCAGAAATCAGAAAACTCAGTGGGCTCAACATTGGTTGATCGATGGGTTGCGTGATCTGGAGCACTTGCTCGAGCAAACCTCCGGGAAATTCGCCGTGGGGGATCAAGTTTCGATTGGAGATATTGGGATTCCAAGCATTTTATACAATGCTAAAAGGTGGGAAAATTTGAGAAAATGGTTTTCGGACGTTTGATACGCGCCCGCCCCTTTTCCCATTAGCAATCTAACTTTGAGCTCAAATTTCTTGGTGTTGGGCTGTCCGATTTAAATATTCTTAGTATCAGTGGATTGCCAATGGCAAAAGGGGACAGGTATAGGAGGTCCGTCGCTCCACCCCCTTTGCCATTGGCAATCTAACTTTGAACTCAAATTTCTTGGCGTTATGTCGTCCGATTTAAATATTCTTAGTATCATTGGATAGGCCAAGTCGTTTTCTATCGATTGGTACAAAAACTATTGAAATTGGACAGCCCAACATAAAGATATTTGAGCTCAAAGCTGGATTGCCAATGGCAAAAGGGGGCGGGGTATAAAAGGTCCGTCGCCCCGCCCCTTTTCCCATTAGCAATCTAACTTTAAGCTCAAATCTCTTGGTGTTGGGCTTTTGGATTGAAAATCGGATTTCAGATTCAACGTTGACACGAGCCAGTTTCCGATTCTCAGCCGTCTCGACAAGTCACTCTCGTTGATTGACCAATTCGCCGCTGCTCATCCCGATAAGCAACCCGACGCTAATTTGAATGCTTAGACATGAATTGAATTGTTAATTTAGAGCTCATATTTTAAAAATTTCTAATGTTCATGACAATAAACTTATTCGAATTCACTCAAGCTTTATTCAGAATTCAAACTTATTCTTCTCCAAACGAACTGTCCATTTTTGAGTCATCCTTTTCTTTTTCTTCATCAGGCTTTTCCAGACAAGCTAAATGAGTTTAATTTTCAAAAATCAAATTTCTAAACCTGGATTATACTGCCACGGTACAACAATGAGCATAAAAGACAAAATGACAAGGATTGTTCCCACGTAAATGTACCAAGAATCTGTTGAGACTTTGCCTCGAACCATGTCAACGGCTAAAGATAAGTTTCTCTTGGTTAACAATGAGGATTTTACCTGTATTCACTGGAATTCCCACCAACATTCCCACAGAGATCACTAGCGGATTCAAAAGAGCGATGCCGAAGTTGATCAAGAAGTCGAACACTAGAAGGACACGATTTTAGTATACTAGTCATCTCAGCTCTCATTTCTTTTGTGATTGATCTGAGGAGTCGCTTAAAAAGATTATCAACTGTATTGTAAAATGTTCTTCTCAGGAGTACAGTGTAAAAATCAAATATAAAATCAAAAATTAAACTTCTATCGCAAAGAAGAGAGTATAGTTTGGTCATGGCTAACAAAGGAACGTTCCAAAGAGGGTATGAGACTTTTAAACGGCGATGAGATGCATAAGATTTTAATGTTTTCCTTTATATGAGCTCTATTATTCCTGAAATTGTTGTTGTTAACCCTAAATTGTTCTTTAAGTCAAGCCAAAAATTCAATCTTGGACTTTAATAAAATGGAATTAAAGGCACTAGATTCTGGATATTCACGAGTGCTCGAGGAATATGCCAAGATGTGCCTACAAATGCCTGAACATCCCGGAGGCTATTAGTGTATTTGTGATCGAAAGTATTTCATTGTGATTGGTGGAAGCTTGCAACAGATTCCTTTGGCTCATTCTTTGGCCCATTCTTTGGACCAATCCAACAGATTCCTTTGGCTCATTCTTTGGCCCATTCTTTGGACCAATCCAACAGATTCCTTTGGCTCATTCTTTGGCCCATTCTTTGGACCAATCCAACAGATTCCTTTGGCTCATTCTTTGGCCCTTTTAGACCACCAACAGATCCTGCCCTTTGGCCCATTCTTTGGACCAATCCAACAGATTCCTTTGGCTCATTCTTTGGCCCATTCTTTGGGATCTTTTCTCTTGGACCAATCCAACAGCCTTTGGCCCTTTGCCCCTTTGCCAACCGACGTTCTTTGGCCTTTGGACCAATCCAACAGATTCCTTTGGCTCATTCTTTGGCCCATTCTTTGGACCAATCCGACAGATTTCTTTGGCTCATTCTTTGGACCAATCCAACAGATTCCTTTGGCTCATTCGTTGGCCCCATTCTTTAGACCAATCCAACAGATTTCTTTGGCTCATTCTTTGGCCCATACATGGGTTAGATAGCCCAATTGGGCTAGTAAATGTTGTAAGCCGGGCCAGGGTACAGTTTCACCAAACTATTTAGCATTTAGCATCTAGGAATTTTGCTAATTTTATTTATTAGCGTTGCTAGATATTAGCAAAATTGCTAATATCTAGCAATGCAATTAGTTTTTTGATATCTTTGTTCAGCGCTGAGATATATGCGTTTTTCAGAGCTGACAACACTGCAAAACACTCTCGGAGGCGTTTAGCAGTTTGGTGCTTAGTTTTTGCTGGCTTCTGATGAGCTCAGAAATGTTTTTCTGGGTTTGGTCAGCAGTAAAACTTGACCCAGAAAAATCACAAATAGAAAATAGCTAGAAAACACTACAAATGATTATATGCCCTAGTAGCTTACTCAATGCCAAAATTGCTCCACCAAAGATGAAGCCCCACGGAACATACGCCCATTTCAACGTTTCCACCGTGTACGCCAAGACAAAAGCCGGAATCACATTGATCGTTAGATTCAAAAATCCAAGACATGTCATAAATAGAGAGACCTAGAATTTCTATTCTGCTTTAAGCATTTTAGCATTTGATTCTCTGTTTTTTTATCTAGCTTTAAGCTAAATCTTTCCACCAAACCTGTGATAAGGTGGCAACACCAATGAACTTTCAATTTAAATATTCTTAGTATAATTGGATGCGCCAAGTCTTTCTCTATCGATTGGTACAAAAATTATTGAAATTGGATAGCCCACCGCGGGGCGTTAAAGGTCCGTCCCCCCCCCTCCCATTAGCAACTAACTTTAGCCCAAATCTCTTGGTGTGAACTGTTTAATTGAGTACTCTTGGTATCATTTGTTGCCAATGGCAGGGGGGGCGCGTTAAAGGGCGCCCCCCCCCTTTGCCATGGGCGACCCAACTTTAAGCTCAAATTTCTTGGTGTTGGGCTGTCCGCTTTAAATATTCTTGGTATCATTGGATGGGCCAAGTCTTTCTTTATCGATTGGTACAAAAATTATTTTAATTAGACAGCCCAGCACAAAGATATTTGAGCTCAAAGTTGGATTGCCAATGGCAAAAGGGGGCGAGCGCGTATAAAAGGTCCATCGCCCCGCCCCCTTTGCCATTGGTAACCCCTTGGCCATTTTATTCTCTCTTTTTTATCCAGCTTTAAGCTAAATCTTTCCACCAAACCTGTGACAACGTGGCATCACCAATGACCTTTTTAAAAATCACCTAAACAAGATTTTTGATGACTGAATAGATTTGTGTGTACTTTGTATAAAGCTGAGAAGAAAGCCGAGACTACAGCCAACACATAGCCGACCCATTGTCCGTCGCTTTTATCACTCGGATCGATCGATATCAAAACAATGCCGCCGACACCCAAAATGACGGCAAATGCCTGGAAAGGAATGGAGATTGCTGGCTATTGGCAATATATTTTAGCTAGAATAAACTTTGACACAGTTTTTCATTTATTCAAGGTTAATTCTACTAAATAACTATTGCAATAAGTTTAATGTATCACCGTAATACCTCAAGTAGCCCCCCGGTACAGTCGCCTAGTCGGAAAAATTTTTTACTAAATCACTTTTTTTCTAAGCGCCTATAATTTCTAAAAATACATGTTTAGTATCAAAAAAATAGTCCGGAATTTCAGCTTTCATTTGATACTTAAGCGCACAATGTAGCATAAACGGGTGGCGAGTAAACTGCGTTTAAAGTTAGACTACGCGACGCCCCCGACCGGCATTTTAGGTTGCTATTAGAGGTGTTACTATTAGTGTTTCTTAACTTTTCCCGTTTTAAATGTTCTTTAATTTTAAATCGCATTTAAAAATTTTTAAGTTTTAGCGAAAGAGTAATAGAGTTAAGGAAAGAGTAATATTGGGTTGTCCAGTTATGAATGCGCGTTTTTACTATTTTGCAAATTTCTCAAGATACCGAATAGATGTAGATGAGTGTTATATATCATTCGAAAGCTGAAGATCTCCTCTACATTTTGGAATAAAAAGTTTTTGAATTCATTCAACTTTTTGGGAAATTAACTGCACAAAGGGAGAGGTTGTTTTCGAAAAAACCCATTCCAGCTTAGCTATTCCTCAAGTTTTATGGTTTAAAATCACCGCCCAGAAAAGAAAAGAAAAGTAAAGGTGCTCTGAAATTGTTATACTTTTAAAAAAGTTGTATTGATATATCTATTGGTCAAACATCAAACGGCTAACTCAATTTGAGCGGAGCAAAAACTTGATCCAAAGGCACCCTTCCATTTTTTGACCACCTCTTCTTCTGTGCAGTCAATTTGCCCAAAAGCTGAACAAATTCAAAAACTTTTTATATCAAAATGTAGAGGAGATCTTCAGCTTTCGAATAATACTCATATATATCTTTTTCTTGATTTCGGTATCTTGAGAAATTTACTGAGAAAATAGTAAAAAACGCGCATTCATAACTGGACAACCCATTATTAGTATTATTATTATTATTATTATTATTTCATTATTTCAGAATATCAAACTTATTATAAAGAGTATTTTAGTTCTAAACCTTTTGCATATGAAAACGTTCACTGAGAATGAAGATCGCCAAAACGTAAACCATTGCCGCATTTCCGGAGCTGATCGATGTGGCTATTGAAGCCGAAACGTGGCCTAAACTTGGAATTATTAAACTGTTCAGAAATTCTTTTCGTTTCTTTTCGTACTTCTGTTGAAAAATAGCTCAGAACTTGTCTAACCATCAATTTACCAAGAAATCAACTCTCGCTTACTCAAATTTATTTTTAATCAAAATATGTTCAATGAGGAATCCATGCCATAGCAATTTGTTGCAACATCCATTCGTAGAAATCGTTCTTTCTCACTTCTTATCGGATCATGAATTAAGCGAGGTAGGGAATGACGTGTCGCGATGCTTCTTATTTCTCCATTTGACAGATTTCCATAGAGCTGATTGAGCGATAGCTTCATAATGTGATGGTTGGCGCATGTGCGAGTAGTCAGCAAGATGCGGCGTTGTTGAAAGAACGAGATTGCATCGGTAAACGAAACATGAATCGCTCAGGAAAGAGCAGGAAATAGTAAAAGAATTAATTTTCTGTGGGTTTTCCATGTTCATTTTCATGGTAGGATGCAAATTTAGCGGGCAATGAGACCGAACGCAATGCCGACATTCAGGAACAAGTTTTGTGTTCCCAAACATGTCATAACGGAAATGATTGGGGGCTTTATATTTGCGGATTTATAAAGAACCAAATCAGGCATGTATCCTTTCAAAAAAACTCACTTAAACATCTCGCATACAAATAGTTTGCTCCAGTCCACAGGAACAAAAATGGTAGCACATATTTGACGATTGACCAAAAGCAAAGTCCAGCTTCTCCAAAAACTAGTTGTGCTTCTCTAAAAGTGAAATTTTTTCGATATTTTTCCATTTCTCTTACGCATGTGCTTCTTTCAAATTCATCTTTCGTATCCTGGCCGAAAGCAAGTAGACTGGATAACAGGAAACGATGAGATTTGTATGAAACCACCTATGAATAGAAATGAATTGAATGAATTGAATGAATGAATTTGAACATTGGATATGAATGTGATCTATGAATGTAATTTATGAATGTAATCTATCAATGTAATCTATCAATGTGATCTATGAATGTGATCTATCAATCTGTTCTATCAATCTGATCTCTCAATCTAATCTATCAATCTGATCTATCAATCTAATCTATCAATCTGTTCTATCAACTAATCTATCAATCTAATCTATCAATCTGATCTATCTATCTAATCTATCAATCTGATCTTGCTCAAAAACATTTGTACATTAAAAAGTATGGAGCTGAGAAGTCATCTTTATGACCGGAAAGAGCGGCTCGACTGAATTGAGTGGAGGCACACCATGTGCAAGCAAGACCGCCGGCTACGACAAGGGAAGCGACAACCTGAAGTGATACTAATCTTCCACCTTTTTTGAGCACACAAGTTATACTAATCATTTCAAGGTTTTTCTGCTGATTTACTCTATCTTAAAGGGTTAGTAAAAAGCCAAGAAAAGCAATCTATTTCGACCTTCAATTTAAAGCTTGTTATCCTTAACTTTATTTATCTTATAATCAAATCTAGTTCTAGAAATTTGATTTTAAAACCAACTCTAGTTCTGAAACGTTGCTTTTTTTAAACCCTGATTAACAATTGTGGTTTGTCTTGGATTTCTTACAGGGGAACCCTTTAAAGTTCTTACAGGGGAACCCATTTCAGAAGCGATCTGATTCCGAAATCAATTTGCCAAGGGGTGTTGACCACCCCCTGGTTAAGGCCACCCTGAAACTGCTTTCAAATCCTACTTATCATTTAGTGCAAGGCGCTAACCTTTGCACTAAGTTTAAGTCTGAGCTTCAGCTTGAGTAAAAACCAGGTTAGTAAAAGCCAGATCATAAAAAGCCAGGTCATTAAAAGCCAGGTCAGTAAAAGCCAAGTCAGTAAAAGCCAGATCCTGAGTAAAAGCCAAAAAAAAGATGCTTTCTGAAGCAACTCTGCTAGAAAGTTCACAGTTAGCTTCAATAAACGATTATTATGTGAAAAATTAGCCAATTATTTAGCCAATTATCAAGAATTACCTCTGTAGCTTTTCCTAGTGGCATTCTGAGGCTTGCTTAGTGTTTGAATAATGATGATTGAATAGTTAAACGTGTGAAGCAATATTTTAAAAGCCCAATGATTTTATTGGTCTTTGAAATTGTTCAGTAGCCCACACTGGTCGAGAAAAGGGAAAGAAAAGAAAAGAAAAGAAAAGAGAAAGAATTTTCGGTGATAAGACTTTCCGTGTCATCCCCCAAAGGCTTTATGTTGGCTTAGAGTGTTTGAGAAAAAAATTTGACAAATAGAATTTATTATGCGAGATCATTGCTAACAAATCAACCAGTAGAATAAGAAAATTGTCATGAAAAATTAAACAGTTTAAGCATCACTTTACAATCTCTTTAGAACGTAGATGAAAGCCAGAGAAATCACATATTGCACAGACAAAATTGAGCTTTTTTCTTAACAAAGACAAAATTTTGGGAAAGGAAATGATAAACTAGTCTAAAAAATCAACTTATTACCCTATCTTCAAGTCCAATCGACCGCTATTTGGTATTATTTAAAAGCGTGAAGCGTTCTCGTTAAAACTACTGGGTTGGTGAATTGAAAACTGCCGGACTTTGAGCTAAAATTTATTCAATATAAAACCATGAATTCATTCCAAATAATCTCCATTATTATTGACGACTTCTGCCCATTTTACAGGCAATTTGCGGATTCCTCTTTCGTAGTAGGATTTTGGTTTGTGTGTGAGACTCAAAAATGGAGGACTGGAGATGTCAGCTGTCAGCCCAGTTTGAGCACTTTCTTCAAAAGAAACCCATTTTGGTGTCAATAGAAAAGTTGTAGAGAATCAAAAATTAGGCTTATAGCCAAATTTCCAAAAAGATACACTTAGCAGTTTCGATTAAAATGCAAGTTTTGTTGCAAGCTTTGTGAAAATTCGTAAATTTGGCATTTCTTGAAAACCAGTTTTTGAATCGTTCTGAAAATTTGGATATAAACTTAATTTTTGATTCTCTACAACTTTTCTATTGACACCAAAATGGGTTTCTTTTGAAGAAAGTGCTCAAACTGTCACATATGACAATAGCCCTCAGTTTTCAATTCACCGACCCAATATTAGCCTATCTTCAAGTCAAATCGACCGCTATTTTGTATTATTCAAAAGAGTGCAGCGTTCTTGTTAAAACTATATCAAAAGTTAGCAATAATATGATCTCTAGACAAAGTTATAAACCTTCAAACCATGACTAATTACTCAAAAGTTCAATTTTCATGGACAAGCGACAAAAACTTTTACTTGGATGTACTTTATGCACATATTTTACACGTAAACATCCATTCTTTCTGGCATAAATAATCCTTTCTTGCTTGTAGAATGTACCAGAGAGAATGTTTTTGCTTGTAGAATGTACCAGAAAGGATGTGTTCCCATGTTTGAGTAGCAAAAAGTACACAGAACAAGTATAAATGGAGTATTGGAAGCTCGGGAAAACCAAAGAAAATTGATCATGATTGAAAAAGTGATATACTTACTTACAACTTACAACTTATAACTTACAACTTAACCCAATCAATGCCTAGACTCTTGAACTGTCTCTTCGATGATGTCCTTTGGTGGCTCTTGGTCATCATTCTCCACATCTCTCACTCCACAGGCTCTTCTTTTCAAGCGGGCCACAATGTCAACCGGTGTGATGATCAACAAGAAAGAGATCAATATGAGACCAGTTCCTGGAAGAAGGTTCTTTGTTGATGAGAATTGATGAGCATTTGCCTTTACGCATTGGCATTTACGCATTGGCCTTTACGCATTCGCCTTTACGCATTGGTCTTTACGCATTGGTCTTTACGCATTGGTCTTTACGCATTGGTCTTTACGCATTGGTCTTTACGCATTGGTCTTTACGCAGTTGCCTAAGCCTAAGCCTTTATGCGGTCCTGTCGGCCTTACCGAGATGTTCATTTTGCCGTATCAACGGTTCAGAACACCGACTTCTTTTGCTCCCTTCTTTTGCTCCCTTCAAAAGGGAAGCACCTTATGCCGGACGGGTATGCCGTTCGCGAGCGGTTACGCGACCGCACAAAGAATACCTCACCAGTCATTTTACATAGGAATTTCTCTTTTGCTTTGTGCATGGTAAAAAAGAAGATATTGTACCCGGGAGTTTTCGGGGTCGGGGAATCGATTGAAGCTATTCATTTTATTGGGTCTCCCAATTGAAACCCGGATTTAATTGTTCTAAGCTTTTAGATAAGTTCAACTTATTAGCCAATCGACCTTCGCCAATCTTCAAGTCTAATCGACCGCTGCAAGTTCAATCACAATACACTCTGCTTGCTAGCTTTGTGTTTGAGACAAGCTTTTAATCCTAAACTACCCAACCGAGCTAAACTACACTCGGTACCCCTGGTCCTTCCATTCTTCTTCGGTCTTCGGTTCATTTGGTCCGTTCATTCCGTTCAAGTCCCCGAATTAGGTCCTAACTTTCAAGAATCAAAGACTAACAAGCCAATTCTAATAGCCGTCTGGCCTATTCTCAGCTCTAGTCTACTTTGAATTTCTTTTGCTAACGAAATGCAATAAATGGCCTTAGCCAAGTTCTCTATTTGAAGCAACCTGTTAAAAAGAAAGCCGTTGGTGTCACATCACGGAACAGAACATCAATAACTAAACTCATCGTTGATTCTCATCTCCTCAAGTAATATTTATCAACCTGTATTCAACGGGATACCACAAAGCATTCCAACAGAAATCACTAATGGATTAAGCACGGCAATACCGAAATTGATCGTGAAGTTGAAGCCTGAATTTGGTTAATGAAAAAATGGTGTTTTTGACTAGAATTGTTATTGCTAGCTCTTACAAATCTATTAAATTATAGTTAATTATTAGGTTGGTAAAAAAGAAATGAGCGTCGCGTTTGTTGATTTGTATTTTATTCACAGTAAAAGATTTTTTAAAAATAGTTTATTCTATTGGAAAGAGCGTGTTCTTGCGCATCGTTTGATATATAATTTTTCTATGTTTACTTTGTTTTTTTTACGAGAAAGATTGTTTAAAAAATGTCGGACGGAAAAAAGGTGATGCTTTGTGTTTGGTGGAACAGTAAAGGCCTGGTGTACTTTGAGGTTCTGGATTCGAGTCAAACAGTTACGGCGAACCTCTACCAAGGTCAATTGGACCGCGTGGACCAGGCGCTGCGACGTCAAGGTGTGGATACGGCGTCGACAAAATTCCTCAACGATAACCCTCGGCCGCATGTCGCAAAAATCACCCAGCAGAAAATTGAAGAAATGGGCTGGGAAGTCCTGCCTCATCCGCCATACAGCCCAGACTTAGCGCCTTCCGACTACCATCTGTTCTGATCAATGCACCACCCCTTGGCCGAGAAAAAGTTCAAGAACCGCGACGAGGTCCAAATTTGGGTGTCCAACTTCTTCGAGTCGCAGCCGGTCGAGTTCTTCAAGATGGGCATCCATTCTCCGCGTGAACGTTGGCGACAAGTCATTGATGCAGATGGCGAATACCTTTTGGATTAATGTATTGTTATCTTGTTTTTATGATAAAATAAACTTTTAACGAAAACACGCATTTCTTTTTTACCAACCTAATAGAAAAAATCTTTTTAGCGACTTACACAAACTGAGCAAAGCCGATCCGAAAAGTGGAAGCCAAGGTACATGCTGGAAATTGATCCATTCCCATGGAGTGGCAATGAGACCAAACGCAATGCCGACATTCAGGAACAAGTTTAGTGTTCCCAAACATGTCATAAAGATGGAAACCTAAAACTCTAAGTGTTCAAGAGCTGCAATGGCTTTTATCTTTAGCTAAAGTCAAATAAAAACCTTAACAACTCACTTGAGGAAACGAGGCCGATCCAATCACACGTTTGAAGAAAACCTAAAAAGTTGGTTAAAGTTTTGAAATGACTTTTGTGCACCTTGTAAAATGCAGCCGATGTCGCCGAAATTATCGACAAAACGATGCCCATGATCTCTCCAGAAATCTCTCCATCAAACGACATCACCACCACTCCACCGATGGCAAAGATCACTGACAGCAGCTAAAATCAATTCAACTTATATTTTGATGATTTAACTCAAATCGAATACCGTATTTTCCCTAATAGTAGAGCCCTCAGAGCCCGCAGAACCCGACAGAGCCGAGTTGATGACTATTTTACCGTTTCCAAGTTTTTCACAGAAGCTCAAGACTTTAATCCCCCACTAGATCTCATCGTCAGCTACATTTTCCGACCCCAAATCGATAGGTTCGATAAGCGCTTTTCGAGCTTTCTAGCAATTTAGGTAAAGCTCCGGGTGTACTACTATTAAAGAAAATACGGTATATTTCATTCGCACAAATAACATAGGATAAACAAGCATAACCCATAAGCCCTAAATGTAGAGAAAAAAATCATAATCGAAAAAGACCAATAATCTAGCTGACGAAATTGAACCCTTGACCTCCCCACCAAGATACGGGGCTCTTAGCCAGTCGGCTATGACGGCATGTGATTGTGGTTGTAAAATAACTGATTATAAAGATCATTCCAACAAGAAGCGGCTTCAAACTGTATACCGTATTTTCTCTAATAGTAGTGCACCCAGTGGAGCCGAGTTGGTGACTATTTTACGGCTTCCAAAGTTTTCCCCGAAGCTCAACACTCCAATCCCCCACTAGATCTCATCGTCAGCTACATTTTCCGATCCCACATCGATAGGTTCTGATAGGCGGTTCTCGAGATTTCGAGCAATTTAGACAACGCTCAGGGTGCACTACTATTAGAGAGAATACGGTACGCATCTTGAAAAAGATTGCTTTACTGGCTTGCTGGATTGCTGGATTTGAGTTTTTGAATGCAATTTATGTTCTAACAATTGTTTACCTTATGTGGGAAGAAGCCTTCTTTGAGAACGATGATTGAAAGAATGTAGACGATTGCAGTGTTACAAGAGGAGATCGATGTGGCTACAGAGGCAGAGATTGATCCTGAAATTGGCTAGAGATTCAAATGAGTGATCAATATTAGCTTAATTGTTATTTTTGGGTTTAAAAAGTAGTTTTTTTAAAACCCTTTCTATAATTAGAACGAAAGTTGGTCGTGAAAGAACAGATTGAAACCAATATTAGGTCAAATTATGATTAAAACATTAAGCAAAACATGTAAGCGCTTATTTTCTTTGACACTTACCCAAAGATCGTGCATAACTATAGTTAGCGGCCACCCAGAGACACAAAAATGGGAAAACGTAAAGGAGAAGAGATATTGGAGTGAGACCTCGTCCCTTGAACACAGTAAGAGCTTCTCTAAAGTTTAATTCAGTTTAGAAAAGCTTCAAGTTTTGATTCAAAAGCCTAGACCCACTGATGTGCTTCACCGATCGTTTGCTTTCGGGCGATCTTTGTGTAGCAGAGAAAGAGTGGGTAACAAAAGATCATATGGCAAGTCGAGAACCACATCTGAAATCGATTTGATTTGATTTGATCGAATGGTGAAGGACTTCTCATTGTGAATTACTAGACAAGACATAGAGTCGATTTATTAGATAAGACAAAAGTCGATTATCACTGAAACTCATGGAATTGTTGCTAGACTTTTCTTGGCTTGGCTCTGGTTTCTTTTTAGCCTCGCCTTTCTAAAAGATCTTCCAAAAGTCCTTTCAAAAGTTCTTCCAAAAGATCTTCCAAAAGATCTTCCAAAAGTCCTTTCAAAAGTCCTTTCAAAAGTCCTTCCAAAAGTTCTTTTAAAAAACCCTTTTTTTAAATCAGCATATAGTTTAATATACTTTATTTTATTTAGATTTATTTTTAATATACTTTTTTAAACCCTAAAACCGAAAATGTTGCTTTTTCACCATTCAAATCTCCAATTGTTAACCTTACGTCGAATTGATTAAACTCTAAAAAGTTTGACATTGTTATGTGTATTTTTAAAAAGCTTTTAATGCTATTCTTATTTTTTAAATGTAAATTTCGTATGCTGTTTGGGATTTGCGAGATAAAAAATAAAAGATAAAAAGACAAAAAATCAGCTATTGGGTTGGTGAATTGAAAACTGAGGGCTATTGTCATATGTGACAGTTTGAGCACTTTCTTCAAAAGAAACCCATTTTGGTGTCAATGGAAAAGTTGTAGAAAATCAAAAATCAAGCTTCTATTCAAATTTTCAGAACGATTCAAAAACTGGTTTTCAAGAAATGTCAAATTTACGAATTTTCACAAAACTTGCAACAAAACTTGCATTTTAAGCGAAACTACTAAGTGTATCTTTTTGGAAATTTGGCTATAAGCCTAATTTTTGATTCTCTACAACTTTTCTATTGACACCAAAATGGGTTTCTTTTGAAGAAAGTGCTCAAACTGGGAGCCCAGTCCTCCATTCTCAAAGTCCAGTCCTCCATTTTTGAGTCTCACACTTGTCTCACACACAAACCAAAATCCTACTACTAAAGAGGACTCCGCAAATTGCCTTTAAAATGGGCAGAAGTCGTCAATAATAATGGAAATTATTTGGAATGAATTCATGGTTTTATGTTGAATAAATTTTAGCTCAAGGTCCGGTAGTTTTCAATTCACCAACCTAATAAATCATATGGGACTAACGTGTACTATATGGAACATCGATGCTATGGAGAAAGTCACATTCTCGGGTAATAAAATAAGGAATAGCAAAGAAAGGTTGCAGGAAAGGGGATTGAACCCTCGAGCTTTTGTTTTGCTTTGCAATTGCTCTGTTTTCAATTCACCAACCCAATAGAATTCATAATGTCCGGAATTATCCAGAATTATCCGAAATTCTCCGGATTTTTCAGATAAACCGGATAATTATCATCATCCGGAGTGTATTTGAATGGGATCAAGTTCGAAAATCACCGGTTAAAGGGAAATGATGTGGCTATGGAAATGATGTGGCTATGGAAATGATGTGGCTATGGAAATGATGTGGCTATGGAAATGATGTGGCTATGGAAATGATGTGGCTATGGAAATGATGTGGCTATAGCTGAGGCTATAGCCAAATCATCATCTATAGCTGGCTGGAAGTTAGTGAGGCGATAGCTGAAAGCACTGCCAAATTGTTAGATTGAATCCAAATCGAATATCTGATTTGGATTAAAATATTATTACACCGTAAGGTATCATGTTTTTAAAATATTTCAATCATTTTCTATAAATTTCATAAAAGTTTAACTCTGGTAACCTGGAAAAGCTGTTTTACACGTTTTACCGAAAAAATTTACCGTTTTGCCGTTTTGCCGTGCCAAAAAAGTAGCTTATTTACGAGTTTTGATATGTTTTTGCATTTTGTTTATGTCTTCATGCTGTTTGCACCGATTTTCCGTTTTTGTTTTACAGATTTCACACTGCTACGAGAAATTCAATGACTTTCTTAGAGTGAAAAGCCAAATTCCAACAGCTGAAATCAACTGATGGTAGATAAATTCAAATTTTAACGTTTCAGCACTGGAGCCAACTTGCTGAAGCGATTGACTGAGGATAAAGTTTCCGCTGATTAAGACTGGAGGTTTTGCTTTGAATTCACAGTAAAATGCAGGAAAGCCTTTTCTGGTGCTAATAGGCTTGAATCCAAGTCGGATATCCGATTTGAATCGAATCCAAATCAGATACAATATTTATTAAGTGTTGAATTTTCGATTATTCTCACTGACCATGAAATATGGGGCATAGAAGTTCTCCCGGTCGACTGTCAGTGCTGTCTTGCTGAACTGGGTGCTGAGGGCCCAAGTGAAAGCCACCAACAGGATCACGATCACGCTGGCTGTTAGCTGAAAGTACGTTGTACGTTGAAACACTAGCTAAAGAACAGATAAAGAACTTTGCATACGTAATAGTAGTGGACCAGATTGGTCTCCCAGACCACTCGGCCATGGAATCCGAGGTAACACCCGGTTTTTCCGCTTTTTACGAAAAATCACACAACGTTCTAATAAAACTAACGTCGGATTCGGAAAGAGGACTCAAAATTACATGCTCTTGCAAATTGTGAGCTTATTTGGTTCAGCCATTCACAAGAAACAACCGTGACTTGAGTCACGCGGTCGTCTATGTGTTACGGTATTTTCTCTAATGATAGGGCATCCCGCCGAGCCGAGTTGATGACTATTTTACGGTTTCTAAGTTCTTGCAGAAGCTCAGCACTCTAATCCCCTACAAGATCTGATCGTCAGCTACATTTTCCGACCCCACATCGATAGGTTCTGATAAGCGGTTCTCGAGATTTCGATCAATTTGGGCAAAGCTTCGGGTCCACTACTATTAGGGGAAAATACAGTACTTAGAAACTAATCTAAAAAGTTCTTTAGGAGAATCTGGTATTCCTGGTATTCCTGGTAAACGTGGAGAAGATTGCCTGGAGATGGATTGCCTGGAGGACCCGGAAGTGATGGATACCCTGGAGCCCGTAGAATCACGGAAGAACAAGGACCTGCTGAAGCGTCTGGACAGAACGGTTACCCTAGAACCCCAGGAATGACGGGTACGGTGAAAAAAGCCATAGTTTAAAACAAGTAAACTACAGGAGACGGTGAATTGGCTGGCTTCCCAACACTCAAATCCCCCAATAGATCTCATCGTCAGCTACATTTTCCGATTCCACATCGATAGGTTCTGATAAGCGGTTTTCGAGATTTCGACCAATTTAGACAAAGCTTCGGGTACACTACTATTAGGGGAAAATAGAGTATTCAAAAAAATATCTACTGCTCAACTTTCTCACCTCTCCAATCTTTTTCACTTGCGTTTCAGTCTTGATTGCCGCCTCGTGTTCTTTGAGTTGCTCTCTCAGCTTCTAAACAAAAGTTTGGGTTAAGAATTCGGAAATTTCGATTTAATTTTGTACCTGAATCTCAACCTCAGCTGATTTCGCATCACTGCCTTTCTTGCTGCCATTTTTGCTGCCATTTGTCGAGCCATACGGGTCCTTTGATTGGCTCATTCTCCGTTCTTCGGAGCTGGAAATGTAGGTTTGATTATGGAGTTGATTCTGGAGTTGATTCTGGAGTTGATTCTGGAGTCAAAACAAAAATGAAAATAGCTATTCTTGAAGAGAAATCTTTCTATTTCTGTTAAATGAATTCAATTTGAAATTCAAATGATTTCAAGTGATTCAAACTGGTAAACAGGCTTTTAAATGGTTATCAAATCAAGAAAGTTCGAGATTCAAGAACGGTAAAGATTTGAAGATGATTATGGTTTAAAATCCATTGTAAAATGAAAATTTCGTGCGAATTGTGCACTTTTTTTTACGAGAACTGAAAAAAAATGAATCAATTGATAGGACGATCATGTTTTTCGATTGCTTTTCTTTTCCCCATTTTGTTTCGATCGGCGATCGAAAAGAGCGAAATTTCTGTTGTGTGTTTGCCCTCCGAATTTTTGTCATTGCAATCTTTTGGAAATGTTTTCGAAGAGAAATTTAAAGCGCAAAAGAATCTGAGTGTTTGTTATGAATAGAAAATGAAGCGTGTTTCTCTTCTCTAATGCATTTTCTAAAGATTTCTACAGATTCATTAATTTGATACGTGCCCGCCGCCTTTGCTATCCAACTTTGAGCCCAAATTTCTTCGTGTTGGGCTGTCCAATTTCAATAGTTTTTGTACTAATCGACAGAGACAGACTTGGCGCATCATTGGATATTAAGAATACTTAAATTGGATAGCCCAAGACCAAGATATAGCAAAAGGGGCGGGGCCAGGAAGACCTTTTATACGCGCCCAGCCCTTTTCCCATTGGCCATCCATCAAATTTCTTGGTGTTGGGCTGTCCAATTTCTATAATTTTTGTACCAATCGATAGAGAAAGACTTGGTACATCCAATGATACCAAGAATATTTAAATTGAACAGCTCAACACCAAGATATTGAGCTCAAACTTAGATTGCTAATGGGAAAAGGGGTGGGACGACACAAGTTTTATACGCGCCCCACCTCCTTTTGTCATTGGCAATCAAATGATACCAAGAAGACCTCAGTTGAACAGTCCAACACCAAGAGATTTGAGCTCAAAGTTGGATTGCCAATGGCAAAGGGGGCGGGGCGACGCACCTTTTATAAGCGCCCCGTCCCCTTTGCCATTGGCAATCCAACTTTGAGCTCAAATATCTTTGTGTTGGGCTGTCCAATTTCAATGGTTTTTGTACTAATCGACAGAGACAGACTTGGCGCATCTAATGATACTAAGAATATTTAAATCGAACAGCTCAACACCAAGATATTGAGCTCAAAGTTAGATTGCTAATGGCCAAAGGGGCGGGGCGCCCATCAAATGACCAATAAAAAGCATATAATTGTTGATTGGTTTCTAAAAGGCACACATTTTGAAGACTACCGTGATCGAGCTGTCAGTTTGCAATCGATTAGCCCATTTTTCGTTTTACTCGATGAGGAATCGCAAGGCATAGCCAAGGATGAAAAAATTGGGCTAATTAAATGAAAACTGATTCCCGTAGAAGTCGTTTAGAAGTCTTTAAACAAGAGGAATACAAAAAAACAATAGGAAAGGATTATTGCTAACAAAAATTGTTTCAATTTTTGTCCGAAATTCGATACAAATTTCGATATCTTTTGAATTTTTGCGAGAGTTTCCAATGAAAATTCAAAGAACTTCTGCAAATTTGAGTCCGGTAGGAAAAGGAAAGAAAAAAGTGATTTAAAAATAATCCTTTTCCACAATTTGATAAGAGTTCCCGGTTGCTGGGGGTGTCAAAAATATGCAGATTTTTCCCTCAATCACCCGATCGTTGAAACGAAAACATTCGCGTGATTGCGCTTTGGAAACTGAACGGATTAGAGTTTTGACAAGAGCACGTAGCGTACTTTGACCTAAATTGTTGGGGGTTTGAAAGATTACTGACTGAGAGAAATTAACGGAAAAACCAACGCAAGAAACCAAAGGAAGGAACCAAAGGAAGGAACCAAAGGAAGAAACCAACGGAAGAAACCAAAGGAAGAAACCAAAGGAAGGAACCAAAGGAAGAAACCAAAGGAAGAAACCAAAGGAAGGAACCAAAGGAAGGAACCAAAGGAAGGAACCAAAGGAAGAAACCAAAGGAAGAAACCAAAGGAAGGAACCAAAGGAAGGAACCAAAGGAAGGAACCAAAGGAAGGAACCAAAGGAAGGAACCAAAGGAAGAAACCAAAGGAAGAAACCAAAGGAAGAAACCAAAGGAAGGAACCAAAGGAAGAAACCAAAGGAAGGAACCAAAGGAAGGAACCAAAGGAAGGAACCAAAGGAAGGAACCAAAGGAAGGAACCAAAGGAAGGAACCAAAGGAAGGAACCAAAGCAAGGAACCAAAGCCAGGAACCAAAACAAGGAACCAAAACAAGGAACCAAAACAAGGAACCAAAACAAGAAGCCCAAACCAGGAACCAAAACAAGGAACCAAAAGAAGGAACCAAAACAAGAAGCCCAAGCAAGAAGCCCAAGCCAGGAACCAAAGCAAGGAACCAAAACAAGGAACCAAGGCAAAGCCGAACAATCTTGTGAAAATTTGACCCTTTTTAAGGCCAGATTCATTTCAAAATTCATCAAATCAACATAAAAACAAAAAAATCAACAATTCTGATTTGTTCAATCAAAAGAATGGTCAAAAAAGTAGCACAGAAAAGAATTTTTATTCAATTTTTCAGTCTAAAGTAGAAAATTTAAAAATTCTTCTTTTTTGAGGTCATCTCTTTACTGTTTCATCTTAAGAATTCCCAAAAATCGGGAGCCAATAAAATTTTATTTCACTAATTTGGGTGTTCTTGGAAGGAAAGATAGGCGTTTTTGGGTTGTGAAAAGATGATTTTGCCCAGATTTGCTAGAAATTAGAGATAAGTTTAGAAAAATTAAAGAATACTCTTTATTTCACTAATTTGTAATGAAGAGAAGTCAAAAGAAAAGAAAGAAAAAAGGAAAGAAGAAGAAAAAGAGAAGAGAAGAAGAAAAGAAGAAAGGAAGAAAAGAAGAAAAGAAGAAGAAAAGAAAGGAAGAAGAAAAAAAGAAGAAAATGGACAAGAATCAGAGGTTTTGAGGCCATCGCAGCTGTTGGCTAGAAAAACAAATGCTTAAAGAACTTCCTTAAGAACTTCTTGAGACTTTTTCAAAATACTTACTTGAGTAACGGTTTTGAGGCCATCGCAGCTGTTGGCTACCCGAAAATTGGCAAGATTGAAGATTGAATAAAGCTGAAAACTTGAATAAATCGAGAAATCAAGAATAATTTTCGTAATATACAGGAATCAGATAAAGTTTTTTTATGCAGGAATCAGACAAAAAGCAAATTTCAAAGGGCAAACGGAAAACCTTTCAAGAAAAGAAAGGGGTGAGAAGAAACGCTTATCTAGAAAAAGCAAACGGTCTTTCGAGGTCACTGACACAGAAAAAAGGATATTATCGGCCATCGGCTGTTCCTTTCAGCCTTTTTCTGGAGTCTGGATCACAAAGCTCAATAAAAGAACTTGTGCGTTTGTGGCCTTTGAATATTGATTGAGGAAAAACTACTGAAGTGTGTCAACGGATTACTTTAATGCTTGAAAGTACAGAGTGCAGGGTGTTCCAAAATCATGGAGTGCATCCTATTCCAAACAGGATAAATATCTGAATATGCTGAAAACAGAAATTTTGCCTTGGAGTCAGCAGCACTTCAGAAATGAGCTCTGGGTATTTCAGCAGACTCTATCAGCTCTATCAGCTCGAGCTCTATCTGCTCTATCAGCTCTATCAGCTCGAGAAACTTAAGATTGCATTGCAAAGAATTTTCTTGAATGGATTACAGTTGATGTCCAGGAGAATGGTCATCCAACTCGCCGGATTTTCTTATTCATTTATTCATTTCTCGAAAAATTTGAAAAATTTACTCGAAATCGTTTCCATTGATTCATTCAAAAACGTCCCAAAAAAAGGGAAATTTGTAAAACGATCGGATTTGGTCAACGTCCCCTCCATGCAGCTCTGCGATTGTTCAACACCGACAAAGTCCCAAATCGGGCATGGTATGGGCCGGAATCTGCGCAAACGGCAAAGCTTCTCTCATTTTCATCGATTCTGGGGTAAAAATCAATAAGGATGTGTACCAAAAAAGATTCTTGAGGATGTTTTGCTTTCATGGGCTCAACAGCATTTTGGTGACGGATTTTGGACCTTCCAACAAGACTCCGCCTCCTTCTCATCGAGTCAAATCCACACAGGACTGGTGTAGGACAAACTTCCCGGATTTCATCTCGGCCCAGGAATGGTCTCCGTATTCGTGCGATCTCAATCCGTTAGACTACAGTGTTTCGTCTACTACAGTATTTGGTCAATTTTGGAGACAATGGGCTTGTGCAAAACCCCACAAAAGTTTGGAGGCTATTAAGCGATCGTTGACCAGGGAATGGGATCGAATCACTCCGGCCGAGCTGCTGCTCATCGCCGAAAACTTCATCAAGCGTTTGAGGCTCTGCATTGGAGCCAAAGGTGGCCACTTTGAAGAAAAGTGGATTAATTCCTTTTCATTATCTGCCAAAACTGCCAAATTATCTGCCAATTCATTTCTCGGAAAATTTCAAAAATTCACCCGAAATCGGTTCCATTGATTCATTCAAAAAACGTCGCAAAAAAAAGGAAATTTGTAAATGATATCGAGTTTGCCAAATTCGCCCACAGAAAAGACACAGATGAATCAAAAATAAACAGGAATTTTTAAAGAAATTACTCATTAAAACGAAAAAACTCTAGTGAATCCATAAGTTGAAAAGATCGGCGGAAAACTTTGCCTAAAAATCATTTGCCCTTGAATTTTGGGGGAACGCGAGAGATCTCGCCAAATTTCTCGATCTTCAGCTAGCCGGGGAAATGTTTTTTCTCCGAAAAGCGCTATTTAGCACAAAAATTGATTGAGCAAAACCTTTTAATTCGTACTTTTAAAGTTTCCTTTCGCACAGAATTTCCCGTTTTTCTAAATCTTTTCTTTTCTTTTCAAGAACTATTTTCAAATTTAGCTTTATTCCATTGTTTCGCTTGCTTTTATTGCTTTTATTATTCAGAATGCTTTTATTATTCAGAATGCTTTTATTATTCTTAATTTCTCCGCTAATCCATGCGCAATTTGGAATGGATGGAATGGATGGTTGGTGATCGGCTTTGAGCTAAAAACTCGAAAGTTTAAGGATCATTTGGGCCATTTGGAATGAGACACCATCACCATCATGGTTTTGGTAAGGACTTTGATTGATGTCTCTCTGTATTGATGTATCTGTAATCTCAAAAATGCTGAAAGTCGACGCTTTTCTGTATTTGTCAATTTTGGCAACTTTTCTTTGCACCTTCGAAAATGTTTAAAAATCAAAGCTTTTCAAAATCTCTCAAAGACATTTTGTTGAAAAAAGATATACCTTATTTTCTCTCATGGTAGTGCACCCTGAGCGTCGCCTAAATTGCTCGAAATCTCGAGAACCGCTTATCAGAACCTATTGATGTGGGGTCGGAAAATCTAGCTGACGATGAGATCTAGTCGGGGATTAGAGTGTTGAGCTTCTGCAAATGCTTGGAAACCGTAAAATAGTCATCAACTTGGCTCCACTGGGTGCACTACTATCAGAGAAAATACGGTACTACTTTTTCTGAAATAGTAGTGCACCCTGAGCATTTGATCCAGATCCAGTTTCGATTCGATTTCGAGCTTCTGCAAACGCTTGGAAACCGTAAAATCGTCACCAACTCGGCTCGCCGGGGTGCACTACTATTAGAGAAAATACGGTCATTGTAATTGAAGCAGGACAAGAATAATCGGACGTATGCAGACCTGAATTCACTCCAGAAAGCGATTCTCGCAGTCACACTGTCCATCCAAAACTGGTTCTTCTCGGAAATATTGACGGAAATCTTTTGACAAAATATTCATCTTTTTATTGTAAAACCAATTCAATCCCTTTTTTTGCATCTATCAGCTCCGAGCCAAACTGATATTTTAAACGGATAAGGATACGGAACTGAATAAGGACATAAGGATATGGATACGGAACTAGTACTGCACCCCGGACAAGCCGATTTGGTACGGAATTGTTAACGGATTCCAAGCTTTCGGAGCTGAACGATAACCAATAAAGGATCCGGAACTAGAACTGCTAACGTCACCTACATTTTACGGAGCCCACATGATAGGTCCTAATAAGCGGTTATCGAGAATTGAACTGCTAATTGATAGGGACGCACCGGGTATACTGAACTGATAACGGATGAGGATACGGAGCTGAACTGATAACCAATAAAGGATACGGAACTGAACTGCTAACGGATAAGGATACGGAACTGAACTGCTAACGGATAAGGATACGGAACTGAACTGGTAACGGTTAAGGATAAGGATACGGAATTGATACGGACAAATCTATATTCTAAAACTTTTTCGAAAGCGACTCCGGCATTTGTATCGTTTATATGATTTTTTTCAGGCATTGAAGGCTAAAATCAAATTTTCACTTAATTTTTAGTGAGTTTTAGTTTTGGCTAGTTTTCGTTTAGCAGAATTTGAAATTTGAGCCAAAAATGTAGCCAGATTTCCCACACAAAAGTCCCTAGAGAATCGAATTGGCTTTGGGTTTTGCATATGATAGCTTCTCACAATGAAAAGACTTGGATTTCCGAGAAGAACCAGGACACTATTGCTAGAATCTATACAATGGTGGTCACAGAAACGTCACAAAAATTGATTTAGAGTCCTTTTATCATATATTGCCTTTTTAGTAGAGAAACCAGTAGATCTGACGTCAGAATTTAGGTGGGCCATTCGGTAGAGGGCCGATGGGTGGTCCGATGGGTCCGATGGGGCCGATGAGAGGCCCAATGGGGCCAATGAGAGGTCCAAGTGGGCCAATGGGCCCGATGAGAGCTGGAATGGGAATGGGTGGTGGTCCGATGGGTCCAATGGGCGGCATGGGTGGTGGACCACCAATGCGCCGACCGCCTTGGGTGAGTCTAACTATCCTGATTCTCTGATATCCTGACGAGCTTTCATATGATTGATTGATTTTGGAAACTTTAGAATAGTCATTGATCTTCCTATTGATTGAGCATCTTACGTAAACTATTGAATAGCTAGTAGTCATTTTCTTTCTAGTAGTCGTTCATTATCCAACCTTTTCTCCAGATGTTCCGTCCACCACCACCACCGTTTTTCGTAAGCACTTTTGCTCTTGGGGAAACTCTTGCATATTCTTGTTACTTTTAAAATCTTTTTTGGTTAAAGCTTGCTTTTTACGTTTCGATTTATCAAAGTTAATTTCTAACTCAATCCTTTTTGTTAGGTTGGTGAATAAGTCTTTTCGTTCCTTTTCGCACTTCCGTTTAAAACCCAACAAATGTCCCAATTGAACTACGGGTTGTTTTATTAGAAAGGCCAATTATTTTTCTGCAAAATAAGATTAAAATGTCTTAAATTTGGATTTTCTTGAAAGCGTGAAGTCAGATAGTCAAAAAGGGCGACGGTTTGATGATACGGACACTTTACCTATAGAAAAGAAACACTTTCGCGAAGGAAACCTATCTTGGTGTCTATAGACAAAAGATAGAGCACAAAAAGTTTGGTATATAGCCATATAGCCAAATTTTTAGAGAAATTGATTCGAGCCGATTTCTTCGTAGAGGTTTTTATAGATTTTTGCAAAAAACACTGTCAGAACTTCTCGAAAAAACACTCTTTCACTCAGGAATTTGCTTGAAAGTGAACCCAAATTGACTTAAAAAGACGGGAAATTGAATAATAAACACTTTTTATTTAGAGAAAACCATAGGTTAATTGATGAATTTGTTATTTTTCAACGGAAGTATGAAAAGGACCGAAAAGACGTATTTATCAGCCTAATGGGTACTAAAAACTACAAAAGTAAACTATAAACGCTTCCAACTTGCTTCAAATCTGCTTCAACTAGGCGCAAGTAGCCTAGCCGACTTAGTTTCTAGCCTGACTCGATCGCTTCGACGAGTACGGTCGAGTCTGTCAAACGACAAGGGTCGAGTCGAGTCAAACCACTATAACTATCTTTAGCATTGAGATTTTTGAGTGTGCTTTGATCCATTCGAAAGCTCTTGAAATTCTCTATTTTTTTGAGCTATACATCATGTCAATCCGGTAGATTTGAAGCAATTTAGAAGCGTTTTTAGTGTAGCAGTTCGTCATTTTTGTAGCTTATATTGCTTATATCTACAACCTAATCATTTAGAGACGAGGACCAAGACCATTCGTAAGTGATGCACATACTATCACAACATAACGCTAGCTAGTTATAGTTAGATTAAATGCTAGTTAGTTTTAGCTTAATTTATAGTCTTCTTTGTATCATCAATATCAAGTTTTAGATGGGTGATGGACCACCGATGTCCGACTTTGGTGATGAACCAATGGTAAGTAGTAGAGTTGGTCAGTTAGAGTAAGAAAATCTTGAACATTAGTCATTAGAAGAGATTAGAATGTCAACCAAGACATTAGAAGTAAGTAGAGAATTGATTTTATATTTTATATAAGTTCTATTGTTCACAAATCACAGTTTATCAGTGAAATCACAGTCGAATTCCTGTTTTCAGGGTCCTATGAGGCCCATGATCGAGCAGCCCATGCCTCCACCGCAACAAGTGAGTTTTATTTCGTTCTGCTCTTGCTCTGCTCTTGCTCTGCTCTTGCTCTGCTCTTGCTCTTCTCTTGCTCTTCTCTTGCTCTGCTCTTGCTCTGCTCCTGCTCTGGCTTGCTCTGCTCTTGCTCTGAGCTTGCTCTGCTCTGAGCTTGCTCTGCTCTTGCTCTTCTCTTGCTCTGCTCTTGCTCTGCTCTTGCTCTGAGCTTGCTCTGCTCTTGCTCTGCGCTTGCTCTTGCTCTTAGCTCTGCTCTTGCTCTTGCTCTGCTCTTGCTCTTGCACTTGCTCTTGCTCTTGCTCTTGCTCTGAGCTTGCTTAAATCTTCAATAGCAAAGCGTTGATTTGATCAAAACTTAAACTAACAACAGTATTTGTAATCTGAACACATTTTAGCCAATGATCCCACCACCTCAACCCCCACCCGTTCAACCGATGCCTCAAATGCCTCAAATGCCAATGATGAGGCCACAAGCGCCACCCCCACCCCCACCAGCACCAGTAACAATTACCTGATAACAATAAAAATAAGACAAGATTTAAGCAGAGCTGTTTTTAGACTCAAAATTTCGGGCCAGTTTTTCAGGTAGGTAGTTCAACTTTACTACCAATTTTCTCTATGTTCTTACATATGAGTATACAAGATAAATTGTACTTTTGTATAACCAAATTTAATAAGGATCATTTTAAAACGAGCCTCAAGTCGTTCTGATCACTGGGAGTCGAGTTATAGAGTAAAATAGAAAAGTTCCCAAACTCCGAGACTCTTAACGGAATTTGGAAGTTCAACGCCAGGCCTGTTGGTCATTTTTGGGTATCTTTCATATACTCCCGATTAAATATGGGAAAATTCCAAACCCGAACCTAATTCCTAATTCCACTTTCGTTTTCTCGGCCTTTTCTTGGCCGATTCCTTTGAAATCTTGTCTAAAATGTTGATTTCTATCTTGATCAATACTTTTAGATGATGCCAGCTCCAGCTCCTCGTTTCCCAGCCCCACAATTCGACAGATTGACCGCTAGTTTGCGAGGGGTAACTTTGAAAAAATGCTTAAGACTACATGATTAATGTCACAGAAATTATTGATAACTTTGTTAGTCAAACGAAAGCATTCGTTTTTAGCTTATCAACAACGTAAACTATTACAATACGGCTTTCCGGGGGCAGAGCTACGAGAATGTGATCAACGCTCTTCATAGATATTATGGACAACGAGCAGGGATCACTTTTGTAAGTGTTTTAAGAAATTATATAGATTTACTAGTGGCCAGAGACAATTCCATTGAGAGGGAGCCAATCAAGACCAAAAGCCAAGCCAATCAAAGCTAAAACCAGGCCAGAAGCTGGTCCAGACTTGGCCAGGATACAAATGGCTGACTCTAGACATGTTTTTACTGGCAAAAATCGTTTTAGAACAATCCTGCTTGTGGTTTACTGTACTATGGCGACTTTTAGAATCCCCAAACCACAGTCAATACGGGAGCTCTGCACAATGAAGTCAGAGCCAATAGTCGAGTCGCAAATGGGCTTTTCGAGGCTGATATGATGCTCACGATGAATCAGGTAGAGTGATCTTGCTATTAATGATAAACTTAGTTAATTAAGTTAAGCTTTTTTTAGAAACTTACTCACTAGGTATCAAGAAAAGGCTTACAATCAAAATCTGATAAAGAAAGGGCTTGGGTTGATGCTGGGAAAGATCTGGCTTTGCTTGGGCACAGGCTTTGCTTGGGCACAGGCTTTGCTTGGGCACAGGCTTTGCTTGGGCACAGGCTTTGCTTGGGCACAGGCTTTGCTTGGGCACAGGCTTTGCTTGGGCACAGGCTTTGCTTGGGCACAGGCTTTGCAAATCTTAAATCCAATCTTTACCCAAATTTCAGCTAAATCAAATTATTGGCGGCCGAAGATGGAAACGGAAAGTGACGTCGGAAATGTCGAAACGCTGGGCCACTTCGATCTCCTATAAATTCAATGATAACGATGGTAAAGAAGCTAAAAGAAGGAAATATTGAAGCAAAGCAATTGAAGAAAATTTAGCAAATTGGCGTAGTCTCATCCGAACTGCGATTCGGCTTTACGAGACGCACACTTGTGTTCGTTTTGTGGAAAATGGAGGAGCCATTGATTCAATCGTTTTCACGAGAGGAGAAGGGTTTGTTCGAAGCCACAGGGATTTGTTTGGGTTTAAAATTTCTATAAATTCGCATAGAAGTGTCCGAAAGTTTAGACTCACCGATATTAGGCTGTTCAGAAAGTCTTTTCGTTCTTTTTTGTCCTAAATGGAAATGTTTTGGATTTATGGTCTACTAAATATAATTGCCGGTTTGAATTTCGTCTTTCTTTCAGATTTAGAAAGTTGGTTTAGTAATTAAACCTCAACTTTTCCAAATTCGGACGCCAATCTACTATAGGACTTGATTTTATATACTATTTAGCTTCATTATTCAAGTAATTGAAAAAATGAAATCCTAGCTTGAAGTGGATATCTTAAGATTCTTTACATTATATGTCTATCAGTGAATGGAACAAAAGAACTTCTGAAATATTCTGCTTAACTAATGCTAACTAATGCTTGCATTGGGTGATTTAGAATTGCTTATCGATATTATCGATACAAACGGCAAGCTCATGTTTGACCGTTCAGATCTCAGTTTCTAGAACAGCTATCAATCTGAAAATTGTTTCATTGGTAAGTCAAGAATGTCAGCTTTTAACTTTAAGTGTTTTAAGAAATGATATAGATTTACTAATAGCAAAAAATCGGGTAGGCGATGGCTCGATGATACGGTTTCAATACTTTAGCTAAGGAAACCTATCTTGGTGTCAATAAATAAAAGATAGAGCACAAAACGTTTGGTATATAGCTAAATTTTCATAGAAATTGATTTAGCCAATTTCTTCGTAGAGGTTTTTATAGGTTTTTACAAAGAACACTCTCGAATTTCTCGAAAAAACACTCTTTCACTCTCGAATTTGCTTGAAAGTGAACCCAATTTGACTTAAAAAGATGGGAAATTGAATAATAAACACTTTTTATTTAGAGAAAACCATAGGTTAATTGATGAAATTGTTATTTTTCAACAGAAGTATGAAAAAGAACGAAAAGAAAAAAAGAAAAGACGTATTTATCAGCCAATTATTTTTCTGTAAAACAAGATTAAAACGGGTTTAAAAGATCTTAAGTCTGGATTTTCTTGGAAACGTGAAGTCAGATAGTCAAAAAGGGCGACGTCTCGATGGTGCCGACACTTTAGCTTTACAAAAGACACACTTTAGCTAAGGAAACCTATCTTGGTGTCTATAGATAAAAGATAGAGCACAAGACGTATAGTATATAGCTAAATTTTCATAGAAATTGATTTAGCCAATTTCTTCGTAGAGGTTTTTATAGGTTTTTACAAAGAACACTCTCGAATTTCTCGAAAAAACACTCTTTCACTCTCGAATTTGCTTGAAAGTGAACCCAAATTGACTTAAAAAGATGGGAAATTGAACAATAAACACTTTTTATTTAGAGAAAACCATAGGTTAATTAATGAAATTGTTATTTTTCAACAGAAGTATGAAAAGGACCGAAAAGACTTTCTGAACAGCGTAATAATTCCAAATTTAGACCTGTTTTTCGTGGTTTTCGAGATTTTCTGAGTGCTAGATATTGAATAATAATGAAATTAGCTTATTCTAGTTTATTCTAGTTCTAAATTACTTTTAGAACTTTTAGTTTTTTTTAGGGAACAGGTGCTTTGCAAAATTCAGAGACAAAAATATTTTTTCGGCTGTCGAGAAAGTCTTTTTCGTTCATTTTCGTACTCATTGAATTACATTTTCATTGAAAAAATAATAAAATAACAAAATATAGCAAAGAAAATGAACGAAAAGTCTAAGGTTTAGTTTAATATTTGACCTAATATTTAACCTAATATTTAACCTAATATTTGACCTAATATTTGACCTAATATTTTAGATTTTCTGAATAGGCAAATCTTTGTAGTACTTTCCTGGTTATCCATTCAAATTTTTCAAAACTTTCAGCTGCTTTTCCGGTGTCGGTAAGCTTGGTGGACAACAAGAGATCTCCTTGGGATCAGGCTGTGAAACGGTAAGCTCAAGTAAAGTAAAAATTGCTTAATATTGCTTAAAAGCATTTCAAATCGAACTAATAAAGCCAGTTTTCGAAATTCTGTTAAAAATCTAGGTTGGTATCGCTTCTCACGAGATTGGACACACTTTGGGAATGTACCATGAACAATCTAGGCCAGAAAGGGATGGATACATCAGGTAAAATGATAAAAATGGGATTTTCCTTGGGAAAATACTCTCCTGGCATAGCTAAATATTCTTGCCGCTTTAAAGACTCACATTCCGTGCGCTAGAACAGGTGTGTTTCCGTTTTTTGAGTCCAACAGGTTCAATGGGCACTTGCTGAACAAGTTTAAGGCTGATTGATTTGACTGACTTGATTTCAAACTCAATCAACCAAAAGCCAACTTTAGAGTCAACTACCAGAACATAATCTCTGGATATCAAGGAATGTTCGACAAGCGCTCCCCATCGCTATCAATCTCAATGGGCATTCCATATGATTATGGAAGTGTTATGCACTATGCTGTCAATGTGAGAGCATTATTTCAGTCAAAAATCAAAAATCACAATCAAAAAAATCTAGGCTTTCTCGAAAAATTTTGGCACTGACACAATCACTCCATTGAGAAGTCAGTATTCAGCGACAATCGGGAATCGAGTGGAGCCTTCTTTTTACGACTACAAAGCTGTGAATCTTCTGTACTGTTCAAGTCAGTTTTTGATTGAGATTGTTAACATTTCCAGTAAGCCATAAACTACATATTAGGTACATGCAAGTTATACTAATCATTTAAGGGTTTTTTTTCTGATTTATTCTATCTTAAAGGGTTAGTAAAAGGCCAAGAAAAGCAATCTATTAGGTACATGCATAAGAAATGCGGATTTCAACATTTTCATAAATTTCAAACGATAGAAACATTCCTCGATATCCTGAAATCGATGAATGTTATAAACTATTTGAAAGTTGTAAATCTCCTCTACAAAATAGGCTAAAACGTGTTTCAATTGATCGAAGAAATTGAAGAAATTTCGAGAGCGAAATGCGAGTGACCAAAAAGGGCACTTTTTGACCGCCCCTTTTGCCATTGACAATCCAACTCTGAGCTCAAATATCTTAGTGTGCAGCTGTTCAATTAAAATAGTTTTTCTACCAATCGATAGAGAAAGACTTGACGCATCTAATGATACCAAGAATATTTCAATTGGATAGCCTAACACCGAGAAATTTGAGCTCAAAGTTGGATGTGACTAAAAAAGGAATCGAGTCACTTTAGGGACAAGTTTAGTGTGATCAAAATAGAGTTAGCTTCCCAAAATTGAAGATTTAAACCAAAAAAGGATAACTATATATCAATTAATTAAAAAAGTCTAACGGAAATGCAGAAATACAGAAATTTAGATAGAGTGTAAGTTCAAAACCTTCAAAATTGTCAAAAAACCGGTTTTTTCACAAAAAAGAAAACAGATTGTAAAAACAAAGCTTTCCCATGAAATGATCACAACTCTTAATCACTTTGAATGATATTTTGAATGATTTGGCGCTCATTTTCCACTATATAGTCAAAACCGAACTTTTGTGAAAGTTTTGGGAAGCTTTTTGAGGAGCTAACTCTATTTTGACCACACTAAACTTGTCCCTAAAGTGACTCGGTACCATTTTTTGGTCACTCGCTTTTCGCTCTCGAAATTTCTTCAATGGTTCGCTCAATTGAAACACGTTTTAGACTATTTTGTAGAGGAGATTTACAACTTTCAAATAGTTTATAACATTCATCGATTTCAGGATATCGATGAATGTTTCTATCGTTGGAGATTTATGAAAATGTTGAAATCCGCATTTCTTATGCATTTACCAAATAATAATAGCATGAATTTTGCTAGTTTTAGCACGTTGCGGTCCGCCACTTCCTTGTCAAAATGAGGGTTACACGAATCCGAATACTTGCAACACTTGCGTTTGTCCGACTGGTCTAGGCGGTACTTATTGTGATCAAGTGGCCTATTCAAGTGAGTTTAAAGGATACTTTACCGTTTTACTTCTCCAAAATTTGCATGCAATCTATCTCTAATCGATGTAATATTTCTTACACATTGAATTTCTACAATGGGAAATTATAAGTTTTGCTGTGAAAAGACAGGGAAATTGCTCTCTTCACATCCTATAATGTCTCTCCTGAACGAAAGAGTTTCAAAAGTTTGAGAAAGTCTACAAAGGCTTTTTGTTACAAAGAAACAACCTAAAAGAGCTCTGATATCATGAAAAAACCAAAGAATCAATGCAAGTTTCATCATGGATAAGATAAACTGACATTGACATTGACATTGATTTGGATAAAAGTTCAAATGAAAGGATGTTTTCAATTCACGATGTTGTTCTTGATAGACTTTATGAACTGGTGAAGAGGAAATCTCTTTCCAAGGGAAATCTCTTTCGCTTACAGCTTGTGGAAGAGATCTGGTGGCGGACTCGAATTTCAGAACACTCACCTACTACGGATCGGGCACCTGTTATTGGAGGATCAAATCTGTGAGTGAATTCAGTAATTTAATGACTTTAAGTGTAGTAATGACATCGGTACTGTAAGTACATCGGTACTGTAAGTAATCGGTACTGTAAGTACATCGGTACTGTAAGTAATCGGTACTGTAAGTAATCGGTACTGTAAGTAATCGGTACTGTAAGTAAATTCAATAAATATGGTTTTGCAATGTATTTACAAAGGTTTTGAAATACTTCGTTTAGCCAAATCAAGGCCGAATCCGACTCCAGATCTCCAAAATTGGTTATGCTTGTGCGGTGAGCTGCGAGCAGTTTGTTGAGGTGTTGGATGCTAAAAATTCTAAAAGCAATACTGATAAATTGTAATTTCAGCAGTTTGCCTTAGTTTTTAAACACTATTTCAGTTATCAAATGTCCAAGTTATCAGATTTCAGATCAAATCGGGCCTGTCACTGGCCGCCACTGGAGCAAGGATGTGCTGTCAGCCAACAATGACTCAAGTAAGTTTACGATCGAGCCTAGACACAAAATGTACAGCATCTCTACAGCACTTAGGTCCAGCGTCTGCCTATAAATAAAGCTGTTACAAGCTGTTGTAAGCTGTTACAAGCTTTCTAGATGCTCAGCGACTCCTCGACGGTGATTCTCATTTCTCGGGCCACTCAATCATCTCAATTCGTCATTCAGTACAGAAATGGTAAAGTTTATTCGATTTCCAATATATAAGAATATATTTGAAATGTAATATACAGTCTCTACAGTACTCAAAGTGACTTAATAACCTAAATATTGCATTTCAGAGGGTGGTGTTGCACAACAAAGAGCTCCAGCAAGACAGCCAGTGCCAGTGACGTTTGGAAGGGTAAGAAATCGTTTAGAAAGTCAACTTTCTAGCCAACTATAATTTTACATTTTGCGAAAATGGTTGTATAAATTTGATTTCGATACTTGGCCTTTTTAATGAGAAAACCCGTAGTTCAATTCATGCATTTGTTGGTTTTGAAGTTTGGTAGTTCGGAAAGAAACGAAAGATTTTCTGGACAGCCTAGGGTAACCAGAAATAATCCGTTCTTCTTTTATTATATTTTATTATATTCAGTGGTCTGGTTGGAGTGGCTGGTCAAGATGCACCGAGCAGTGTGGCGCCTGTGGAACAAGACAGAGAAAACGAAGTTGTTTATCGGGAAGATGCAGGTAAGTGCTGGCCAGAGCCGGCAAATTGCTGGTCAGAGCTGGCAAAGTGCTGGCCAGGCCTGGCAAAGTGCTGGTCAGGCCTGGCAAAGTGCTGGTCAGAGCCGGCAAAGTGCTGGCCAGAGCTGGCAAAGTGCTGGTCAGAGCTCGGCAAAGTGCTGGCCAGAGCCGGCAAAGTGCTGGTCAGGCCTGGCAAAGGCTGGTCAGAGCTGTCAAAGTGCTTGTCAGAGCTGTCAAAGTGCTGGCCAGAGCTGGCAAAGTGCTGGCCAGAGCTGGCAAAGTGCTGGCCAGAGCTGGCAAAGTGCTGGCCAGAGCTGGCAAGGTGCTGGCCAGAGCTGGCAACCCATTCTTGACTAAATTCTCATGGAAGTTTAGCGGTTCCTCACTTGAGTCCCAAATCTGCAACTTCAACGCTTGCCGAAGGGGGACAACATTTTACCGAAGAGGGAAAAGGAGTGCTCTGCTTGAATATTTTGAAGATGAAGGTGCTCAAAAACGATAAAACAGTTGACTTATCAACAGCTTAACTTAACTTTAATACTTGACGTTCTTGGCTAAATAATGGGTGAAACAGTTTTTTTAAAAAAAGCTAATATTTCATAGACAAAATTAGCGTTTAGCGTGTCTAAAATGGAAAAATTCTCTTTTGATGCTTAGGCTAAAGTTTCGGCTTCGGCAAACGTTCGAAAAAGAGTAAAGAAGTGTGCTAGAAAGGGTATGAATGCATATTAGCACAAATTACACACTGATGAATAGCTAGCTTTAAGTCCAATGAATTTTCAGTGACCCGAGTCAAACGAAACACGGAATGGTGGTGTTGCGAGCGCTATCTAGCGAGGGGAAGCGTTTGTGTGCACGTGTAAACAAAGTACAAAGGATAAAGTATTTATTATGATGATAAAAACATTATTATCATTATCATTATCATTCTACTTTTCGTTCCCGTGCCTTTGAGCCGATTTCTCTCTCGATTTCTGGACTCTTTCTTGGCTAAAGTTCAGTGAAAGTGCATTCTCTAAATCACACTATTTTTTTACCTATCCCGCTCATCAAGGGCAAGAAAGTGCTTGATCATGAAACCTCAATCTGGACTCCAGACTGTAACATCAACACGTACATACCAATAAAAAAATTGACGCTTCACTTGGATAAACGAAGGTAATGTATTATCTGAAAATCCGATAAGAAACTCGTTGGGGAAAATGGCTGTTTTGTTTGCTTGCTAAAACTCTGTTTGGCTGTTCGTGATTTCTCCAGAAGAATAATACGAGCAAAGTGGCTTCTTTTGCGTCGAGCTGCATGGCATTTGCAAAGCGGCGTCTTTCCATTTCGGCTCGTCCATCTCCATTTCGGTGTAAATTGACAAATGTTACAAATACTAAGAAGAAAATATTTATTGAAATCATTCTCAACAATTGTACTCGCAATTGGTAGCCTGAAAGAGCAAAAGGATCTAGGATTGGCCGACTAGTTGATTGTGTTTTTGTCGACAACTTCGGTAGGTTGTGTAGGAGAGAAGCATGATGATCTAGAACTTAAAAATGCAAAACAGTTTAAAAACTCTTGCTAAAGATTTTTAGGCTTGTTTTTTAGGCAATCCCAAGCTTTGATTCACTTTTTAAAGAAACCGCCACTTTAGCTTCACAACAATGCACTTACACTGGAAAGACAACGGTCGCATCCGTTTCCTTCCTTTTTGCGTTCCGATTTTGCAATTATTCGCGTCGCATTTTTTCGTCTTTTTTCTCTTCCCGAATTGATTTTTTTTTGGCAGAGCTTCTGGCCCTTTTTGGGGTTGGGGTTTTTGCCTTCGTTCTTGGGAGACTTTGATGCTTCTGCCTTCGTTCTTGGGGGACTTTGATGCTTCTGCCTTCGTTCTTGGGAGACTTTGATGCTTCTGCCTTCGTTCTTGGGAGACTTTGATGCTTCTGCCTTCGTTCTTGGGGGACTTTGATGCTTCTGCCTTCGTTCTTGGGAGACTTTGATGCTTCTGCCTTCGTTCTTGGGAGACTTTGATGCTTCTGCCTTCGTTCTTGGGGACTTTGATGCTTCTGCCTTCGTTCTTGGGGGCTTTGAGCTCTGCTCGTTCTTGGGGACTTTGATGCTTCTGCCTTCGTTCTTGGGGGACTTTGATGCTTCTCCTTCGTTCTTGCGGGACTTTGTTCCCTTCGTTCTTGGGGACTTTGTGCTTCTGCCTTCGTTCTTGGGGACTTTGATGCTTCTGCCTTCGTTCTTGGGGGACTTTGATGCTTCTGCCTTCGTTCTTGGGGGACTTTGATGTTTCTATTCATGCGCATGCTGTTTTTGTAATGGTTATCGTTGCATTTTTGATTCTGTACTAATAAACGGTAAAATTATAAATTCAGTTTACTTTATGCTACCCTTCAGGTTTTAAATCCTGTTTAAATAGCTGGTTTAACACTGTAGAAAGAGCTGACTAACATTTGTGTCGCCTTCGACGAAGTATCAATCCGTTCTGTACTCTTATCACGAGTATTAACCTTATGTTGGATGCTGCGTGTTCTTGTTATGTTGTAAGCGTTTTGGGGAAACCCTTTTAACCTTTTTGTGCTATTCGGCTATTCTGAAGCAAAGTCATCCCCGATGATAAGGTTAAATCGGGTCGTACCCCAAACTCAACAGTTTATGGCTTATCTCATTTGACCACCTCCTATTGTTGCCTTTCCCTTGTTGAATAGCTGAAGTTGTGCTTAAAGTTGAGCTTAAACGGTAAGTTATTAAAATTAGAACCTTAATAATAGTCCAAAATATAAGTATAACTCACAAATATGAAATAAATCGACGAGAAGATCGAAGTTGTCCAAGCAAAGCCGATCGATTGCATCATCGCGCCACCAATCGTTGGTCCAAGAAATCCACTGAAATGTGTTCAAGATTGGTTTTAGAAGAACCAGGTTTTAGAGGGTTTAAAGCTTATAAACTATTGAATTAGCGGATAAAGAGCAGATAACGATGCAATCAATTAGGCTTGCAATCAATTAGGCTCAGCTTACCCCAAAGCGAAAGTGCTCTGCATGATCCCGGAGACACAACCGTAAGTGTAAGTGTTGTCTTCAAAGCCGTGTTCTCTAGAAATTGTTGATTAATGGATACTCTTTGATATTCTAGCTTTAAACTCTTCGATATTCTTTGAAATTCTTTGATAAAACAAACTTGACGGCATCCAAGCAATTCTGATAAGTTGGAATGTAAAGTGCGGCTCCGGAAATGCCAAGGATAGCAAGAGCGATCGCCACGACGAGCAGGTTGCTAAAGTATAACTAAAGTATAACTAAAGTTGCTAAAGTAAAAATCTTTTACTTCAGTAACCTGCTTTTACGTTTGCTTTAGATTGAATTGAACATTTTGAGCTTTTTCAAACTTTGGATTTAACAGATTAACACATTCAGGTTACCAAAACGGCTAACCGATGGGTTATCGTCACACCAAAGCTCATAACTTTTCTTATACTCTTCTTATTTTTGTGCTCTTTTTTCAGTTAATTGATTGCTGATTATTTTTCAATATTTTTCCACATTTTAGCGACAAAATTAGCTCAATTAATCCAGCAGATAGAGTTTATACGAATCGGCAAAGCAACAAACTTTGGTATTGGAAGAAAAGGTGATGGCCCGATGATTAGGTAACAAATCCCTGTGAATAGGCCGGCAAAAACGAGCATTGGGACAGAGAGGGAAAATCTGAAAGCTTTAATCTTAGTATTTTAAAAGTTTATAGTTTTTCTTGGCTAACAAGGGAACCACATATACTTACGGCCACTGATTGCCCGCAAAATTGGTGGGTAGGCAGAAACGACTCTGGGGAAGAACATATTAAAAATTCAGCTGCAAATCTCCAAGATTACGATAGTTACAGTGTTAAGATTTGGTAAGAAATAGGCGACAATGGAGTTTCTCTCTCCGCAACGATATTGGCCCTAGTTAGCCCAGTGGATTCACTGCATTGTGGTGTAGTGGTAGTGCGTTCAGTTAGAAAGCGGATGCTCTCGGGTCCGAGTCTCGGTTTAAACTTCTAGAATCATTCTTCACCATTAACCATTTTTCAATTATACTATTATTTTATCTACTTTATGCATATGTTTATCTAATCTAATCAGCAATCAGCATGAGTAAGTATACGTGGTTCCCTTGTAAGTAAGCTGCTACACCTACAACTAGGCCACTACACCACAGTGCAGTGAATCCAAAGGGCTAACTAGGCCACTACACCACAGTGCAGTGAATCCAAAGGGCTAACTAGGCCACTACACCACAGTGAATCCAAAGGGCTAACTAGGCCACTACACCACAGTGCAGTGAATCCAAAGGGCTAACTAGGCCACTACACCACAGTGAATCCAAAGGGCTAACTAGGCCACTACACCACAGTGAATCCAAAGGGCTAACTAGGCCACTACACCACAGTGCAGTGAATCCAAAGGGCTAACTAGGCCACTACACCACAGTGATCCAAAGGGCTAACTAGGCCACTCCCACAGTGTCCAAAGGGCTAACTAGGCCACTACACCACAGTGCAGTGAATCCAAAGGGCTAACTAGAGCCAATATCGTTGCGGAGAGAGAAATTCCATTGTCGTCTATTTCTTACCAAATCTTAACACTGTAACTATCGTAATCTTGGAGATTTGCATCTGAACTTTTAATATGTTGTTCCCCACGATCGATTTTACCTACCCACCAATTTTGCGGGCAATCAGTAACCGTAAGTAAATGTGGTTCCCTTGTAAGTTAAATATTTCAAATTTACCTATCAATTAAAAGCCCTAACAATGGTGCGAACAGAGTGTAGACGGCGCTACACAAAAAGAACATCACTCCAATCATTGTTGGAGAAAGAGAGAACTGAAAAGCTATTGAAAATTTGATTTCTATAAGTTACTTCTTTCAATCGACTCTCCAAGCTGAGATCCAAGAAACCGAAAGCAATCGAGCAAATGACAACGGAGAAAGCCATCAAGAACACCCACGGGATTTGGATCATGTCCAGGATACCGCGTTCTTCTTCGATTTCTGAATAACTTGGAATGGACAGTTTTTAACGCACTTGAAAACAATGTTTTGTGAATGCCACAGAAGGTGAATCAAAGAATAATACCACAAAATTGTCGCAATCAATTGTTTTTTTGGTGATAAAAGACTAAAGTACTTTCTTTGGCTCTTATTTTTAGGGTTAAAGACATATTACCGAGCCAGGCCAAACAACTTCTTAAGCCATAAGCCTTGCGATAAGCCATAAGCCATAAGCCTAGCTTCTGACTGTGTTCGGTCTAAGCGTTTCACCCAACAACTAGTAAAATTCATGGGGTTGTCAGTAAAATTCGGAGGATATCAGGGTTGTCAGGGCTATTGAATAAAGTGTTTTAGTTCAAGTGAGAACAGATATCTCGAAACAAGAAATAACGTGTCTTGGGTGAAGAGTACCAAACACGCAAAGAATATTTCTTTGCACCTTAGTAATTTTTTAGAAAAAGTGAACGGTAACTGAGCATGAATTTTCTCGGCATGAAAAAAAGGCATAAAGCATGAACGCCAGCATGAATTTTCTCGGCATGAAGGCATGAATTTTACTTTTTTTTGCTAGACTCTGACTCTGGTCTGAGTCTAGATTGCTCAGCTTTCCCTGGCTTTTCTCAAAATACTGCCCAAGTCTAACCCAACCAGTACAGAGTGCAGCAGAATTCTGGAAACTAAAATTCTTGCATCTAGCTCAGTTCGCGATGCCTCAAATGAAATAATTCTTTTTTCGTTAGTTCTTCTAAGTTGTTTGCTCTAGAAAAAGCATTATTAGACAAAGGTGACTTTTTTCTAAAAGTTCTGATAATTATTCAAAGTGCGCGCGTCGGGAATTCCCGGCCGAATCACTATGAATCGTTCTAAGATTCTCTTTATGATTACGATTGCCCAAAAACATGAAAATGCCCAAAAAGTAGTCATGAAACATTGAAATTATTTGATTTAAGGCATCAAGAACTGAGTTAGGTTCAATAAAATGATAAAGCTACCATAATTCTACCGCACCCTGTACATACAGTACTGGAAAATGAAATATGATATTTGAAAAACGATCGTCACTTTCGCGGGTCTGTAACTCCCTTGTCCTTGGGTTTAAACTATTAGTGTTATACGTTTTCTGAAAGCTCTTTTCAAGGGCTACACAATGGTAATTCTAATATTTAGAAATACGGTAGTTTTTGACGCATTTCAGCGTGCACAAGATGAAAATTTTTGATGAAATTCTTCTGATACAATTCTAATTCTTTGACTACGTTTCGGGAATCTTCGTATTTCTTTGAATATCGTTATTCTCAGGTGGATTTTTGCGCAGATTCCGAAAACCCTAGTTTCATAGAGCGATTCACACCTCTATCAAAAAGCTTTATAACGATTTGGGTATCTTGTGCCGCTGAAATGCGTCAAAACTACCGTATTTCTAAATATTAATATTACCATTGTGTAGCCCTTGAAAAGAGCTTTCAGAAAATGTATAACACTAATAGTTTAAACTCAAAGACAAGGGAGTTACAGACGCGCGAAAGTGACGATCGTTTTTCAAATATCATATTTCATTGTCCAGTACTACTGTCGGTCGTAAAATCCGGTTGGAACATTTCTAATCATTGTTTAAACCATTTTCCAAGCAATCACAACTCACCTTCTTCCGTCTCCTTTGGCTCCTCTAATAAATATATACTCAAAATTGTTGTTAACAGCAAGATGCTCCCGAGAAGGATGAAGGGAACTTGAAAGCCACCAACATCATAAAGAAAACCGCCAATGAGTGGGCCGAGAGTGAAGCCCAATCCGCCAAATGTCTCAAGAATACCCTGAAATAGCAATTGAAGAGATTGAGAAATCGTTTAATGGTTTATTCTTTCACAATTCTTTCACAATTTACCACAATTGAAGCCACGTTCCCGGAGAAGACTCTAGCCGCGATTGCAAGTGATGAAGTAACAAAAGCTGCATCGCCAAATGCTTGAACGATACGATTCGTTAGAGAAGCCCAGAAAAATAGTCGCCCAGGTAAGAAATTTAAAAACCTAAAAGACATTTGGTGTTTAACGTCTAACAACTCTACGTTTGTTTACCCGAAAGAAATTGTAGAGATCCCAGTGATTGTTATTCCGGCGATGAACATCCTCCTGGAGCCAATACGGTGCATCTGAAAGCTTGATATAATTAAAATTAGCATTGGAAAAATAGGATGCTGAGAAAGTATGCTGAGGAAGTGTGCTGAGAAAGTATGCTCGGAGAGTATGCTGAGAAAGTATGCTCAGAGAGTATGCTCAGAGAGTATGCTCAGAGAGTATGCTGAGAAAGTATGCTGAGGAAGTGTGCTGAGAAAGTAAAGATTGTGAGAAAGCTCAGATTGTGATCTTCCACACGTTACCAATTTTCCAAAAAGTGGTGCAAGGCAGAAGATGACGAGCTCGAAGATTCCAAAAATGATTCCTGTTTCTGACTCGGTGAGCCCCTTGGCTTTTGCCTAAATGGGAAAATGGCAAATTCTCAAAAAGGAAAGAGAGCTTTCAAAAAACTTTCAAAACAGAACAGATTGACAGATAGGACACGAAGATGACAAACCTCTCCAGGATAAAAGGGAGCAATGCAGCTAAACGAGATTGTGCTTCCCATATTTGCCACAGCCAACATTCCGACCTAAACAGCTATCCAAGGCAAAGTCAAAGTATTCAAGTCAAATTTTCAAACCGATTGGTTCGCTCATTTTTTCTAAAAAGCGAAACAGACAGACACACATACTCTCCCTTATAATAAGTAGAATTTGAAGAAATTTCAGCTTTTTTGGCTCAAAGATGGCTGAGAAAAAGCCCGTACAGACGGACGGACAGACAGACACTACCCTTTTATATACAGGGTGTGTCAATCACTGATACAGCGCGCGCATAGCAAGATTCTTGCTAAAAACATAAGTGTTCTTATTGAGTTTACTTCCCACACCTTTTTCTTTATGAATGTTTGTTAAATAAACTATTAGCGTGTTCAAATTGTGTCTTTTAGAATAGCGCGACTTTCACGCTATCGCGAAGCAATCATCGACTTGCACAGGCTTCTCAGCACAGTCGATTCTGAGCTGCTTAGGAGTGACTAAACTTCTCGTTTATCAAACAATTCAACGCTTTCAATTCTTAGGAACAAAGAATGGTTTGGGTCGAGTTGTCTCGGGAAAATTCAAATTTTTCGGATCGGGTCGGGTCGGGTCAACTTTTGAACTGACCCAAACCGATCCGGTCCGACCCGATCCGCTCCGGTCCGACCCGATCTGATCTGACCCGATCCGATTTTCCATGTCTACTGTATAGCAAATGATTTTTCCGGTTCAAGCCCTTAAAGCAGACCTGGATTTACTGCCAACAACAAGTTCTGACCTGGCTTTACCGGCCTTTGCTCGGCTGTAAATCAGACTTACCGTAATCCATCCATGAAGCTTGAACGGCGACTTTTCAATGATATTACAGACATTTTGTGCTTCATAGCCTTCTTCCGGTTTCGGTTTTTTAAGCGAATATCGAAATTGGGTGTTAAATTGAGTGGTCTTTCCCTCTGACGACATTCTTCATCGATTTCTTGCTCATCAAGGTCGATATTTTTTGGGGAAAACAATGGAAAAGGTTTCTAAAATTGGAAATGTTTTTGAAACATTGCGGTAATGAAGATATGAGTGGAAAGCGTTCCACTCTCTGCGCGAGATAAAAAAAAATCAATTCATGAAACACAAATTATTAGAAACTGGAGAGAGAAACTGGATGAGGAAAACGAGCTCGCTGTCCGGTAAACTTGTCGGGTATAAAGTGGTTTCCTTTTGGAATCTGCAAGGGAATGATCGGTGAGCGATTGAGCCGATTTTCTCCGTTTTTTCGGTCACTATGCCCAAACTCTTGAAACCAATTTTTCGATTGAATTTGGCTGTATTTCAGCAACGAATTCCACACCCTGTTGAACCAATCTTAGCCAGTAAAGCTGAGATTGAACCAGTAAGAACAGTAAGAACAGTAGGAACAGTAAGAACAGTAGGAACAGTAAGAACAGTAAGAACAGTAGGAACAGTAAGAACAGTAAGAACAGTAAGAACAGTAAGAACAGTAAGAACAGTAAGAACAGTAAGAACAGTAAGAACAGTAAGAACAGTAAGAACAGTAAGAACAGTAAGAACAGTAAGAACTGTAAGAACAGTAAGAACAGTAGGAACAGTAAGAACAGTAGGAACAGTACGAACAGTAAGAACTGTAAGAACAGTAAGAACTGAAAGAACAGTAAGAAGAGTAAGAACAATAAGAACTGTAAGAACTGTAAGAACAGTAGGAACAGTAAGAACAGCAAGATTGAAACTGATCGAAGGAAACTGTTTTCATCTTTTAAGATTAGATAAACCGATAAGGATACGGTTGGACGGATCACAAAGAAACAAGAATAATAGATAAAATCACAAAGTACTCAACAAATATTATCCAAAACACTAGGCAAAAATCTTCAATCAAGAGATAGACGTGTGTAGTCTGAGCTGTTCTAGTCCGTTTCAGTCCGACCCCCTTTTCTTCTTTTTCAGCAGCCTTTTTGTAGACTTGGGTGCACCGTTTCAATGACTTTTGATATCATTTTCCCGTTTTTTCTCTACAATTCATCTTTGATATGGTGACAATCAACAAAAAGGAAATGCATTCGTGGGTTGAACGGTGCTAATCAAGCTAGGCATCGATTTTTATGTTTCCTATTGAAAACTATAGTAACCTTGTCTCTATCTTTTATCCAATTGATCTACTTGTTGTATTTATTGGTATTGTTTGTTTAATCAGCTTTCAAAACAGATCAAAGAAAGACAAACTGGATCAAACTAAAGATTACAGTAGTTATCAAAAGTTAATATGTTAAAAATTCATTACTGAAAAAGAACACACTAAAAAAAAGCAAGCAAAAACTGTTTCAGAAGATCAAAGAACTTTAACTAAAGGCTTAGCTTTAGGCTTAGCTATAGGCTTTAGGCTTAGCTTTAGCCGAAGCCTTAGCCTTTAGGCTTTGGGCTTTAGGCTTAGCTTTAGGCTTCAGGCATTAGGCTTAGCTTTAGGCTTTAGGCTTTAGGCTTAGCTTTAGGCTTTAGGCTTTAGGCTTCAGGCTTTAGGCTTAGCTTTAGGCTTCAGGCTTTAGGCTTTAGGCTTAGCTTTAGGCTTTAGGCTTTAGGCTTAGCTTTAGCCTAAGCCTTAGGCTTTAGGCTTTGGGCTTTAGGCTTAGCTTTAGGCTTTAGGCTTAGCTTTAGGCTTTAGGATTTAGGCTTAGCTTTAGGCCTTAGGCTTAGCTTTAGGCTTTAGGCTTTAGGCTTTAGGCTTTAGGCTTAGCTTTAGGCCTTAGGCTTAGCTTTAGCCTTTAGGCTTTAGGCTTTCGGTTTATAAGCATGGAAAAGCATAGAGAAAAGTTTTTGAGCTCAAAAAGTCGGATCTGAGAAGGTCCTGTAGATCCATTTTGAGCCAACGAGTCTTTCACCAAGAAATCTCTCTCATCCATCAATTTCTCTCAGTTGTTTCATCGAAAAGGGCATGAACACTTTGTAAAAAATGCCCCTTATCGTCAAAATTTAATCGCTAAAAATTGAAAACAAACAAAAACTATGGTTAACTATGGTTTTTCTGCAAAATCAAGAGGGGTTTTGTAAAGAATTTTTGGGTCACTCATGAGACAAAGCTTTTCGTCTGACTGAATTCTAACGTGTAAAAACAGCTTGAAAAATTACTTTGACTGAAATATTTAACAATATTTAACCGTGCTACCAGAAAAACATAAAAAAATCGTTTAAAAAAATTGTAATAACAACTTATTGGAGGTACAAGACCCAAAAGCAGCAATTAAAAAATATAATTTCACATCTTTAGACAAATTAGAAATTTCTTCTGAAAAAACTTTCATAAAGCCATTTTATAGTCACATACAGACATTTGGGATACAGTAGGCAGACAATTTGGGATACGGTAGGCAGACAATTGAGGATACAGTAGACAGACAACAGCTCAAAGATTTGCGGGCGACTAGCGCGAATTTCGCTCAATTTCACTCTGGATTTCACTGGATATTTGCGAGCATTGAGACAGACAACAATCTCATGACGTTAGTGCACTTGAAAGCAAGGGAAATATTTACTAGATGTGGAACAGCTATTACTGCAAACCTTGAACCTGGAAAGTCTTGCAGTGAAAAAGTTTGGCGATCAGCATTGTGACTGGTAGAAAGTTGCAAAGTTTATAGCAAAACGAGTGGTTAAACTGACGGAATCGATGGTTGTGAGAGAAGGTATATTAGGCGGTTCAGGTAGTGAGATAGATAATGGGGATACAGTAGAAAGACAATTTGGGATAGAGTAGACAGACAATTGGGATACGGTAGACAGACATTTAGGGATACGGTAGACAGACAACTGGGGATATAGTAGACAGACAACTGGGGTTATAGTAGACAGACAATTAGGGATACAGTAGACAGACAACTGGGGATATAGTAGACGGACAATTAGGGATACGGTAGACAGACAACTGGGGATATAGTAGACAGACAACTGGGGTTATAGTAGACAGACAACTGGGGATATAGTAGACGGACAATTAGGGATACGGTAGACAGACAACTGGGGATATAGTAGACAGACAACTGGGGTTATAGTAGACAGACAACTGGGGATATAGTAGGCAGACAATTAGGGATAGGGTAGACAGACAACTGGGGATATAGTAGACAGACAACTGGGGTTATAGTAGACAAACAACTGGGGATACGGTAGGCAGACAATTGCGGATACAGAAGACATTTTGATAATCCAAGTAATGTAATATAATGATGAGACTTTTCAGGGTACGGTAAGCAGGATACGGTACTATACAAAGTTCAACCATTGATTGAATCGTTTAACTTGGTGGACTTTTTTGAGTTTATGATGTGAATTCCTGATGCTTTAACCATTCTTGGTAATGCTGAAATTCTTGGTAATGCACTTTCCCTCAATTTATTATACAATTTATCTATGTATTCACACAAGAATCTCAATCTATAGATGGAGAAAGCAAAAAAAAGAATACTCGTATTCACTTGGGGGAAACAAGAGAGTCCAAAAGAAATTTATATAAGGCAAAAAGGAAAGTAAGGAAAGTAAGGAAAGTAAGGAAAGTAAGGCAAAAAAGAAAGTAAGGCCTTTTTAGGAAAGCATCAAATGCTTACAAAATTCATCACAATATCAAAGATAATACATCTTTTGCATACTTTACTCTTTTTTACGCCGTCACACTGTTCGTTACGCTACCCCGTCGGAAAACCGATCGGCCACCAAAGTAACATAAAAGGGTGAAGATCTGAAAGTATAGGAATTGTTTGAAATTGTTTAAGGCAAGATAAACTTAGATAGGCAAGATAAACTTACATTTTTATAGAATTCAACACAATATTACTTATAAATTGCTAAAAGCTATAAACTTCATATTCATACACTTACAATCAGCTATAAAACATTCACCTAATGTCCTTGACTTGGCCAGGTCGGCCAGGTGACTTGGCCAGGTAGGCCAGGTGACTTGACCAGGTAGGCCAGGTGACTTGGCCAGGTAGGCCAGGTGACTTGACCAGGTAGGCCAGGTGACTTGGCCAGGTAGGCCAGGTGACTTGGCCAGAGCCTGAGCAAAGGCTTGTTAGCTCGGTCAGACAAAACTCGAGTTTAATGGATGCCTTGACTAGCCGTAGCTTGCCTTTAAAACCTCAACTCCTTGTAATGTTCTTATTCCAGAATGTTCTTATTCTAGAATGTTCTTATTCCAGAATGTTCTTATTCCATTTTCTTATTCCAGAATGTTCTTATTGTCTACCGTATCTTCTTATTCCAGAAGATTCTAATCAACAGTAAACTCTAAAACATTAAATAGCCTGTTGACAACTAGATAATTCGGTACTTGTCGGTTATACACGCACAGAGACTCATCTCGGTTAAGCAAGGAGCTGACAACTTGATTTAACTACAGGACTTTTCTGAGCTTTTCAAAACACCAAAACAAATTGATCCTTAATGAAATTAATGAAAAAAACAGTTTAATTTGTTACGTAAAATCTCCATTCAATTTTGTTTTCAAATTCAATTCTCCATTCAATCTCCATCTCTGTTTTTTCAAGACGTAATTAGTCTAGACTTGTAGTTCTTGATCTATCAGTTTAAGGTTGAAAAAGGGAGTTTCTGGTTCAGATTTTTGACCTGACTTTTGACCTGATTCAACTGAATTGAGATAATTGTCAAAGATAATCTTTATCTGAATATTCTATAAAGATTTGCCATAGGTTTTTTGGTACTACTTGTCGGTTATATATCCACAGAGACTCATCTCGGTTAAGCAGCTCCAGCCGAGTCTTCTCAATTATCGATTCTCGTTCAACTGATCGACCGATCACTTCGACTGATCGACTGCTCACTTCGACCGATCGACTGCTCACTTCTGATCATTTCACTGAACATAATCACTCCTCACAAGCTGTCAGCTTTTTGCTTAACCGCGTTGAGTCTGTGTGGTTGTCTAACCGACAAGTACCGAGTTTTGCAGCCCATTTTTGAGGCCCTCAAATGAACCCAATTCGACCTCCGGCAAGCTTCCATTTTTAGATGTTTTCTAACAGTGCAGGCAAGAATTCAGGCTTCAATTCTCTATACAAAAACAGAGTTTTTGAATTGATTGCGGCGTTTTGCATGCAATTTGCTGAAAAGATGAGGCCGTAATTCTGGCTCACTCTGTAGGATTGCTTGCTGAACCGAGTTTAGTCGTGTTTTTCGTTTGACCGATCGACTGATCACTTCGACGAGCACTCTATCACTTCACTGGACATACACCCCTCACAAGTTGTCAGCTCCTTGCTTAACCGAGATGAGTCTCAGTGGATGTATAACCGACAAGTACCAAGACTTTTTATTATTAAATCTTCAACAACGACAAAAAAGATGAAGAAGAAGTAGAAAGCGGCGCCACAAAACGAAAGTGTTTTTTTTTTCTGTATTTTGATCGTAATTTAGATTTACTGGGGATTAAATGCGCTTTTTTAAAGATATGAACAAGAAGCAACTGTGATCAAATAAAGAAAAACGACAAAAAAACAACAAGGATGGTGTTTTCTTTTTTGGTTTTTTCAAAAACCCTTAGGCATCGGTGGACCGTGGATGTATAACCGACAAGTACCCTTGTTACTATTAAATATGTTCTAACTTTTGATATACGCTAGATATTTTAGGTAAAAAATAAACACATATTTTTTGGTTGTTCTAGTTTACAGGAAGGTATCTCCATTGAAATCTTCAAACTTCAAAGAAACCTAACTATGCGCATAAGCATTCTAGAACTGTATCTTTCAGTCTACAGGATCGACTGATCGACTGATCACTTCAGACGAGCACTCTACTTCACTGAGCATCACCGCTCACAAGTTGTCAGCTCCTTGCTTAACCGAGATGAATCTTTGTATAACCGAAAAGTATGCAGAACCGACAAGTGCCGATAATTCTTGTAATTCAACCCACAAATATCAAATTCACAGCTGCAATCGCCGTCGCCGTCCACTCGAAGCCGATCCATTGTACAGCCGCGCCGCCAAGCGTTGGACCAATGAATCCTCTGAAATTTTGCGATATAATATGTAGGAATTATACTTTAAAAGAAAAATTATTGACTTTATCGTCGAAACTTTGTTTTCCAGCACCCATTTTCAGCTAATCAATGAAAGTGCACTCACCCAAACGCAAAAGAGCTCTGGAAGATGCCAGACACACAGCCATAAGTGTAGATTGAGTCATCAAAGTCGTATTCTCTGTAAAATGAAGATTTAGGATTACCTTAATTACAAAATCCACATATAAGTCGGAAAATAAAAGGAAAAGCCAATTTTGGACATTTAGGTTGGAGTTGAAAAGTTGAAATGGTTAATCAATGTAAATTTTCTGATTAAGTATCTAATTTCTGTTTGATTCGAATGATAAGTGATAATCTTAAGCTAATAAACTTATGCAAAGACTTGCCTAGAAAGATTCAAGGAAGATTGCCTAGAAAGATTTAAGTTTCTTTTGCCTAAAAGGTTTCAAATTTTCAAATCCAATCCTAAAGCTTAAATCTTTAATGTCAGTTTTTCAAACTTTCTTTCGTTTTCTTAAAATCGACGAGATTATTCAAACAATTGCGACAATTTAGCACTTTTGAGGCATTTTTGATGCAAATTAGGCTAAAACTCGCAACCTTTGCAACCAAGGGTTTTCGACGTCAAGGAATTCGAATTTGTTATTAGTTTTTTAGAGAAAACTCCTCTATTTTTGGAGATTTTAGATATTAATTACCCAATATTTAGAGAGTTTTGTGAGAATCCGATTGACAGATACAGTACTGGACAATGAAATATGATATTTGAAAAACGATCGTCACTTTCGCGCGTAAGTAACTCCCTTGTCTTTGAGTTTAAACTATTAGTGTTATACATTTTCTGAAAGCTCTTTTCAAGGGCTACACAATGGTAATATTAATATTTAGAAATACGGTATTTTTTGACGCATTTCAGCGTCACAAGATGAGATCGTTATGAAACTTTGATACCATTTAACTTTGATACAATCAACAAATATTGATATTGAATAACAGATATTCTAAGGTAAATTTTTGCGTAGATTCCGAAAATCGTAGTTTCAGAGCGATTCCAGCACTCTATCATAAAGGAAGAACAGCTTTGAAAATCAAAAATTTTGAGTATCCCTCTGAATATTTTGAGTATCTTGTGCGCGCTGAAATGCGTCAAAAACTACCGTATTTCTAAATATTAATATTGCCATTGTGTAGCCCTTGAAAAGAGCTTTCAGAAAATGTATAACACTAATAGTTTAAACTCAAAGACAAGGGAGTTACATACGCGCGAAAGTGACGATCGTTTTTCAAATATCATATTTCATTGTCCAGTACTGTAAGTGATAATCTTAAGCTAATAAAAATGGGGAAACCTTTCGATTATTAGAGTCAATTCAACTTTAATCTTTTTTTTTTGAGTATGATTTGTTGCTAGTGAAAAGCTTAGAGTGTGTTCCTCGCGAGTAAGTAATTACTCGAGTAAAATTTGCATGAGTAATCTCGATGTAATCGTGATTTTTTTTAGATTTTCATAATCTGGGGCTAGTTTCTCAAAAACAGCTTATTTTCCGAGCCAAATTGTCCGTTTACAAAAAGTAGAAGAACTTTTGGGACACCCTGTATTACATAACTTTTCACTAGCAACAAATTATAAAAAAACTTTTTAAAATCTCGTGATTGGTTGGGGAAATCTGGAGAAATTTAGTAATTTCATATGCATTGATCCAATACAAATACTCACTTAACAGCATCAAGACAATTTTGGAAAGTCGGAATGTAAAGAGCTCCAGCAGCCACGCCAAGAACGCATAAAGCGAAGCCGATCACGACGAGGTTTCTAAAACAAAAGTTATTATTGATTTCAATTTAATATTCAAATTTGTTTCTCTATTATTAACTATTAAGCTGAGTACGATTTCTTAGAGTCTGTCAGCTCCGAGCCAAACTGATATTTTAGTTACTATTGTTATTATTGAATGATTTGTCTATTCTTATGCAAATGTGTTCTCCCCTGCGCTTATCCCTTTTATTGCCGAGAAGGGGGAGATTGCCTGGGAGGACAATGAGGAGCCTAGAAGGAGAGCGAGGAGCCTAGGAGGACAGTGAGGAGCCTAGAAGGACAGTGAGGAGCCTAGAGGGACAGTGAGGAGCCTAGGAGGACAGAGAGGAGCCTAGGAGGACAAGGCTCTCATTTGGAGTCCCCCCTTCCCCTTACACTCATTTGTAATCTATTCGTCTTATTGTACTACTGTAAATAAAGATACATATCTTCCGAGTTGCAAATGCAGTACAGGTCGGTGATTTCACAGGGACTTCCCTCTAACACGTTGGAGGAGTTGAGTTGGGTTGTCGGGGCTGTTAGAGATGGCGGGATATCAAAAGGGATCCACTGTCTTTAACTTAACCCAAATTCTAGTCCACATCCGTTTATACCTAGGAACGAATAAGTCCTACTTTCGTCCTACTTTCGATTTTCCTTTTATAAAAGAAGAGCCAAACAATAAACATCAAAATAAAAAGAAAAACAAAGAATGGAATTGAACCCAAGCAAAAAAAATGAAGAAATCGTTTTGTATAAAAGCCCTTTACCCACTGCCTACCTTTGTTTAGCATTGAGTAGGCCTTATGGGACCTTATGGGGCCTTATGGCGACCAGGAGAAATCCATTTTTTGGCTACAGATTCCATGTTTGTAACTTTTGATAGAGAGCCATTTTGCAAAAACGGAAAGCAGATTCGGAATCAGCGTGAAATTCTGTATTGAATGGTCCGGTTTTCAATCGAAAAGCGAACTTTAAGTTGGTGCACTTCCCTTGTCAACCTCAGACTTACTTATCAATTGGATGATGGACCGTTCGTTCGTTCGTTTGTTTGTTTGTTTGTTTGTTTGTTTGTTTGTTTGTTTGTTTGTTTGTTCGTTTGTTCGTGTTTGTCGTTTGTTCGTTTGTTTGTTTGCTCGTTTGCTTGCTTGTTTGTTTGTTTGCTTGTTTGTTTGTTTGTTTGTTTGTTTGTTCGTTTGTCTGTTTGTTTGCTTGTTTGGTTGTTTGCTTGTCTGTTTGCTTGTTTCTTTGTTTATTAACTACTTACTACTACTAACTCGATTATTAACTACTTACTTATCAATTGGAATCAACGGTGATGGACCGATGAACATCATTGAGACGGCGGTGGCTGCAGAGCCAAAGAACATGATAAATGTTGAGCAATCGAATCTGGATTTTGAGTGTTTTTTTATTAGAATTTAGGCTACGAATCGTTTTTTAATACTCGATAAGAATCGCTTTAATCTTAAATTGCCTTATTGTCAAGTAAGCTCAAGGTCTGGAAAAGTTCGAAAGTTGAGAAGAAATTGACGTTTATTTGAAATGTTTTAAAAATCTAGCTGATGATTCATTGTTAGCATAGGCGAAATTACCGTTAACATTGAACATTGAACACTTTAACATAAAACTTGCTTGAATTGAAACTCACTTGTCAATGAGGACTCCCCAAAATGGAGCAGACAGAGTGTAGACTCCGCCACAAAGTAGGAACATCAAACCGACAAGGGTTGGTGAGAGGGAGAACTGAAAATAGAACAAGAATGTGTTTAGCTGGAGAATAATTCTAAGAAGTTGTCCATAAGCTTTAACACATTACGGCATTTAGCAGCTTTAACAGTTGTTAAAGTCCATAAGCTTTAACATACGGCCCACCAGTGAGCCGTACGTGGATTTTGCACTTTTTTTGAGGCTGATTTGGCTGTAAATTTGCAACTAGGGGTTTTCGGGCACAAGGAATTCGAATCCGTTATTAATTTTTAAAGAAAACTGCTCTATTTTTAGATATTTTAATACCCAAATGTGATCCCAAATCCAGCCCCATGTGCCAGAAAGTGCTTTTGACCAACTTTGCTTCTTATTACTTTTCTAATTTGGACATATTTAATACCATTCGATAGCTAATTCTTTTTCCTATCGAATGATATTCAAAATTTTAGAATTGGTTTAGGGAAAGCTGAGAAAAACTCATTTTGCCAACGGCAAAAAGGCAAAAGTTGGTGGGGCCAATTCATGTCAATCCAAACAACAAGATCAGACTACAAACGCTTATAGAAACGCATAGAATGGCTATTTTTATAAGCTGTTTTTACCAGGAACTCAAGCCAACTTTGGGCTTTTGAATGACACCAAAATCAGGCCAAAAAGGTCAAAATCCATTTCAACTTACCGTTCTCAAATGCGCCTCCAGCGTTGGGTCCAAGAACGAAAGCGAGATCGCGCAAACGACCACCGCATAAGACATAATCCAAATCAATGGGATCTTCAGCATTTCCATCATTCCTTTCTCGGTATCAACTTCTAGATTTGAAATTCTTAAAGCTTTCTTCTTTAAAAACTCACCATCCATATCATCTTCAAGCGATTCCACGGTGAAGAGACTCAACAGTGTCGCTACGAGAAGAATCCCGCCGAGTACCAAAAACGGTGTTTGAAATCCACCGTACTCGTACAAAAATCCACCAACAAGGGGCCCAGCCGTGTAGCCCAAACCAGCAAATGTCTCCATGATACCCTGAAAATTGGTTTTTGATTGGGAAATCAGGAATTGCTAGAAAAGAAATCAGAAAAGAGCAAATGATTTTACAGTTAAGCAAACTTTTTTTCCAATTCTGGGCCAGAGCAACCTTTTATACGCGCCCCGCCCCCTTTTGCCATTGGCAAACCAACTTTGGGCTCAAATATCTTGGTGTTGGGTGGTCTAATTTACATTTTCTTGGTATCATTAGATGCACCAAATCTTTCTCTGTCGATTGGTGCAAATTGGACAGCCCAACACCAAGATATACCCAACACAAAGATTAGGAAACCCTCCCCCCCCCCCTTATTAAATATCTAAATAAGGGATAGCTCTTGAGCTTAAAGTTGGGTGTTGTATTTTTTTTTTTTTTTATTCGGTGGGGGCTGTCTAATTTAAATAGCTTTGTACCAATCGACAGAGAAAGATTTGGCGCATCCAATGCTACTAAGAATATTTAAATTGAACAGCCCAACACCAAAATATTTGAGCTCAAAGTTCGTTAGATTGCCAATGGCAAAGGGGCGTATCAAATGTCCCACAATCGAAACAAAATGGACAACTCTTTTCCACTTTTCTTGCAGAATTATAAAAAAATTTAGTTGGTCAATCTGTAAAATCATTTGCACCAAATGTCCGATAACCTTTTTTTCCAAATAACAATAATTACTAACCACAATTGATGCGACATTCCCAGGGAACAACTTTGCTGAAATGGCAAACGAAGAAGTGACAAAAGCCGCGTCTCCCACAGCTTCCATCACACGAATTAACAAAGAAGCCCAAAAGAATAATCGACCCGAGGGTAAATAGTTCAAGAACCTAAAAGTATTTGTTATTAGAAAGCTAATTATCTGTTATTAGAAAGCTAATTACCGTATTTATTCCAGTTAAAGAGCTCTTTAGGCGAAGTTTTTCATTTCTCCAGTTTTTTCAACTAACTAGGATAGCAAAATGTTTATCTTTTTAAAGACTTTTAAAGCTTTCTAATACAGCTTTTAAAGCTCTCTAATAGTTATAAACTAAAAAAAGCTTAATGACGCTTAAAGCTGATGAAAATCCAATAAAAACATCTATTTTTGAGCTCGTGAAAATTTGGGTATGCTGTAGCTAGGGCACGATAAAGAATTTTGGAGAGACATTGAAGATTCATTCGAATAAAAGAACCAGTTCTTCTATTAGAATGTTTACGGGAGACTAGGCTTTCAAAAAGTCAATATTTGATTACAATAAATACTCAGCTTACCCAAAACAAATAGCCGTCACTCCAGTGATCGCTAAACCCATCGTGAACATGTTTCTCGAGCCAATTTTCGTCATCTAAATGACGTCATCTTTTCAAAGCTTGCAAATTCAATGCACGCAAGAGCGTTTACAGAGAAAAACTTTCGGGACGCATTCTAAAATGCACTAGCTACCGTAATCCGCAATTTTCGTTGCTTAAAGTAATTTTCCGTTGTTTTTATTCATTTTTCACCGTTTTTCTTTGCCATTTCATCGCAAATTCATCAAGATCTGCTATAATCAAGATCCACTGCTATAATAGATGAAAATTACGATTTTGAATGGAAGAAAATTGTCGAATCGGAAGATCGCAAAGAAAATAAAGCGCTCACACCAAGTTGTCTCAAGTGTGGAAAGCCATTGGCTACAAAACCCAATACCAATTCGATCCTTTTGAGACTTTTCTTTAGGCAAAGAGTTCAAATAAACGTTTCCAATAGATTCTACGACCCTGGGGCACAAATTTTTAACATTAAATCTCATCTGGGAATCATTTACAGAACAAAAGAAAGAACTTTGTGTAAATGATTGGCGAGATGTTCTTTGTGCGGCCGGATAATCGCCTTGAGATCTGGCAAATCACCCTGGCATAAGGGACTTTCCTTTTGATTCAGTTAACTGAATGGGGCTCTCTGTCCCCCTGCCCAAAAATGCCCGCTACTCCCCAAACAATTTCCCGAGAGTTTTTGTCCCGAAAATTTCCCTCTGTAAACGCTCTTGCGTATTCAATGCAAATTACAAATTACAAACATTGAGTGCTTACAAATTTGCCGAAAATTGGAGCGGTGATAAACATCATCAATTCAAAAATGCCGAAAACGATTCCCGTCTCGGCTTCGGTCATTCCTTTCAGAGTTGCCTGAAAAGTTTTATTGAAACAAGCTTAGACATTTCTGAAATTGCATTCACTTCTGCTTTTGTTGCACAATTTCTGAATTAAATCCTTTTCAGAGATTTCAGCGGATCACAATGACACTTTACCTCAGCTGGATAGAAAGGCGCGATACAACTGAACGCGATCGTGCTGCACAAATTCGCCACAGCTAACATCGAGATCTAAACTTGATTTTGGAAAACATTTATCTCAAAAACATTTATCTCTACCGTAATCCAATCTTTTGATGTCAATGTTCTGAAGGAGATCTTTCTCGAGACTTCAGAATCAGTCTCGGATTCACTAAAATGGAGAGTTTGACGAGTTAACAAGGTTGGGTCCGATGAATTCTAATAAGGAAAAATCACAAGGCGATCACAAGGCTAAGGTGATCAAATGGCGAGAGCTATTTACCATTCGACGCAGAATTTTACGCTGATTCCGAGTCTGATTTCCGTTTTTGCAAAATGCCACTCTATCAAAAGTTATAAACGTGTGAAGTTTTGATTCGGTAAACATTCGGTTCGGTAAATGATTCGGTAAACAAGGTAAACTTGGCAAACAAGTTTGAGATCAAGAGGCCAAAAAGGGATCAAAAAAAACTCAAAAGTCAGCCCCTATATAAGGTTTCGTTTCGTGCCAGCTCCCATATAAGATTTCTTTCACCGTCTCGAAGTCTGAGCATGTGGTGTAGTGGATAAGGGTCTTGTATCCGAAACTAGCTATCAAGTTTTTGCTCGGGTTCGATTCCTTTCATCTTGTTTTTATTTTATTTTGTTGTTTTACTGCTAGAAATTGCTCTATTTTAACTTTACAAACCATGAATTGTGAAACGTATGCTTTTATGTGTAGTGGAAGATGTAATTTTAGAGGCAAGAGGCAAAAGTGATCATTTAGTGATTGAGTGATCAGTTTTTACAGTATCTGTAGTTTAAAATCTGTTTACATATCTGATTCGATTCGTGATTTAAGCATTTATGATCTAATGATCTAATGCTTAAATGATCTAATGCTATAAATTCTCTAATGATCTATGATTTAAAATAAACAGTAGCCAATCCGGCATTCTGTTCAAGAAACTTGATACTTTCCTTACTTTTTCGACTTCTTATGGAGTTTTCATGTTAAGGATCTGTTTAATCGATCTCTTTAAATGTTTAACTGCTAGAAATTGCTCTATTTTAACTTTAAAATAACTATTATGATATCTTTTAATTGATAACAAACAAAATAACAAAAAAATTAGTACACTTGGCAGCAATCTATAAAGTGAATGAAACGTAATTTAGCATTACATCTTGCACAACACACAAAAGCATACGTTGCACAATTCATGGCTTATTTATGGTATATGGCTCTTATTTGGCCTGGCTATTTGGCCATAGCAGCCTTGTGACGTTCTCTTGTAAGTCTGGCTTCAGAGAATTGAATCTCAATTGATAACTCTTTGTGAGACTCACTCTTCACTAGCTGTTGGTGGTAGAATCGGCACTTCTTCAGCTCTCCTTTGTGTCCTCAGACTTCCATATGAAGATGGCCTTGGTGGTCGTGGTTCTCTTAAAAGATTTGTACTTAAAAACTCGTCTAGTTGAGCTTAAACTATTCTAGTTTCGTTTAAACTCGTCTAGTTTCGTTCAAATTAGTCTAGTTTCGTTCAAACTAGTCTAGTTTTGTTTAAACTAGTCTAGTTTCGTTTAAACTAGTCTAGTTTCGTTTAAACTAGTCTAGTTTCGTTTAAACTCGTCTAGTTTCGTTCAAATTAGTCTAGTTTCGTTTAAACTAGTCTAGTTTCGTTTAAACTAGTCTAGTTTCGTTTAAACTAGTCTAGTTTCGTTTAAACTAGTCTAGTTTCGTTTAAACTCGTCTAGTTTCGTTCAAATTAGTCTAGTTTCGTTTAAACTAGTCTAGTTTCGTTTAAACTAGTCTAGTTTCGTTTAAACTAGTCTAGTTTAGCTTAAACTATTCTAGTTTCGTTTAAACTAGTCTAGTTTTGTTTAAACTAGTCTAGTTTCGTTTAAACTAGTCTAGTTTTGTTTAAACTAGTCTAGTTTTGTTTAAACTAGTCTAGTTTCGTTTAAACTAGTCTAGTTTCGTTTAAACTAGTCTAGTTTCGTTTAACTTGTCTGTTTTGTTTAAACTGTCTAGTTTTGTTTAACTAGTCTGTTTCGTTTAAACTAGTCTAGTTTTGTTTAAACTCGCCTAGTCTCGTTTAAACTCGCCTAGTTTCGTTTAAACTAGTCTAGTTTCGTTTATTGCAATTCTAGTTTCGTTTAAACTAGTCTAGTTTTGTTTAAACTAGTCTAGTTTCGTTTATTGCAATTCTAGATTGCAAGCTTAATTACCTTGTAATCGTAGATCTTCTGTCCAAATCAATTGTGCTTTTTCGCATCGGAATGGGCATGAAAGGGCTCGCAATTAGTGGTCTAAAAGCTGATCTTTTACAGAACTTTTTTGAGTTTATCTCTACAAAAGTTTCTATCTTTAAGTTTCTATCTTTAAATTGTTGATTTTAATGATTTGATGAATTCAGTTTGACGTTTGTTATGCAGTTTTATTTGCAAGACAAGCTATAATGGTTTAAAGCTTTTTGAGAGTATTGCTTGCTAAAACTACCAGCTGGAAAAGCTAATCACGGGTTTTTCTCGGCAGTAGTGGTTGTCTCAGTGGCGCAGTCGGAGGCGCTAAGGCGCATTCGGAGGCGCTAGAAGTGGGTCTACGGCCCACTCGATCCGAGTTCGACCCCCGTAGTGTCACTCGACTTTGACTTTTCTAATTTTTTATTTTAAATGCCGCAACTATATTGTACCAGCCTTTAAAGCATTATCGAAAGAAAGAAGTTTCTAAATCAAAAAAAGAGAAATTTGTCCATTTTCATAGGGCTGTCGAAAGCTTGTCGAAAAGGATGAATCATTCATCTTTTAAACTTTGCTACTATGAAAAAGAAATTGAATTGTGCTTCAGCAAAAGCTAGTGATTCTAGAAATCATTTGAAATTAAACAAAATCGATTTTGCTTTCGGAAATTATTAAACAAAAAAAACGAAAAAAACCAAAAAAAAACAAATACTCTTAAAAGTTCTAAATCGATTTTTGCTTAACGATGATTGATCTTAATCGATTTTTGCAATCGAAATGTTGGGGTTTAAAGTATTAACTACAATTTCTGTTGTTCAAAACGTTCAAAAAAGGCTTTAGCATTGGACAGGACCCCCTCTTTGGCCACAGACTGACACACAACGCCTTAGACCATTCGGTCACGCTCTTTTCTGTATATTTTCAATATTTTAAAAATCTACGGAGGTTAATTGCTTTTCTTTAGTGAAAGAACGTAAGAAAGAAGACGAAAAGAAGAAGAGGAAGAGAAGAATACGAAAGAAAAGAAACTTTAGGAGGCAAGACAACAAAGCAAAAAAAGTCAGCATTTTTTAAAATTCTATAAAGCCTAATTCGCCTTTGATTAATATCTAAAGATTAATATTAAATCCGGCTTGCAAAAAAATAGAGAAAAGAAGCAATAGTTACATTTCATTTTGACTTTAGAAAATGAAAATTGAAAATAACTTTCTACTTATGAACTGCGAGATCACAAAAGTTTAGCACTTTTTAGAAAACATGATTTGAGAGGAGCCAACTCTAGACAGGAGCATTGTTGATAATTAAATATTATCGATTATTGATAATTATGGTTAATTAAACCCTGAGCCGCTTAAATATGCTAAAGATTTAACTAACAGAACTATTGGGTTGGTGAACTGAAAACTGCCGGACTTTGAACTACAATTTATTCAACATGAAACCATAAATTCATTCCAAATAATTTCCATTATTATTGACGACTTCTGCCCATTTTACAGGCAATTTGCGGATTCCTCTTTCGTAGTAGGATTTTGGTTTGTGTCTGAGACAAGTGTGAGACCCAAAAATGGAGGACTGGAGATGTCAGCTGTCAGCCCAGTTTGAGCACTTTCTTCAAAAGAAACCCATTTTGATGTCAATGGAAAAGTTGTAGAGAATCAAAAATAGACCTTATATCCAGATTTTCAGAACGATTCAAAAACCGGCTTTCAAGAAATGCCAAATTTACGAATTTTCACAAAACTTGCATTTGAAGCGAAACTACTAAGTGTATCGTTTTGGAAATTTGGTTATAAGCCTAATTTTTGATTCTCTACAACTTTTCTATTGATACCAAAATGGGTTTCTTTTAAAGAAAGTGCTCAAACTGGGCTGACAGCTGACATCTCCAGTCCTCCATTTTTGAGTCTCACACTTGTCTCACACACAAACCAAAATCCTACTACGAAAGAGGAATCCGCAAATTGCCTGTAAAATGGACAGAAGTCGTCAATAATAATGGAAATTATTTGGAATGAATTCATGGTTTTATGTTGAATAAATTTTAATTCAAAGTCCCGCAGTCTTCAACTCACCAACCCAATAGAAACCAATCCAAAACAGTACTGGACTTTAGTTACACTATTAGCCAAGTACAATACTCAAACTCAATTACTTCTACCTGCTTTTCTCAGACGCGATACTCAATCTATCATCTGCATCACGATTTCTCGAGGACTCTGGACCATTCATGAGATCAATTGTGTAGATTCTAGTGTCCATTTCCGTTTCCCGATGTCGAGAAGTAATCCGACTTGTTGATGGTAAAGAAGTTAGGGAATTTATTGAAAGTAAAGATCTCGATCGAGCCATTGCAGCCGTGGATAATGACAATGACATTTTGATGATGATTTTGATGATGAAAGCTTTAGAATGAATAGAATAAGTGAATACTTTTATGCCATTCGTTTCGAAAAGATCAAATAACTAAAAGTACAAAATTTTGAGGGTAAATTGAGTAGAGAAAAAGTGAATGCAAATATGACGCTTGTAAAGGAAAAGAAAAGAAATTTGATACTACTAATTGACTGAAAAAAGTTCGAAAAGGCAATAAACTACAGCGAACTTTTTTCATGAGTGCAAAGAGCAAATGGCTGGGGAATTGGAATGAAGATTGGTTTATGAATAATGACAAATGTTATAGTTTACATGATTACTTACAAATGGTAATGAGAAACAAATGGGAACAAATGGTAAGAATGGTACAAATGGTAACAATGGGACAAATAGTAACGATGGGACAAATGGTAACGATGGTACAAATGGTACAAATGGAAGCAATGGTACAAATGGAAGCAATGGTACAAATGGAAGCAATGGTACAAATGGTAACGATGGGACAAATATTGGGTTGGTGGAAAAGTCCTTTCCGATTTCCCGGGAGAGTACCTTAAATTTGTCGAATTTTGACGTTTTATAGCTCATCCTAAAGCTGAATTCAAAACAGATCCATTGGTAAAAACCGTTTTGAGATATCTCTTTTCTAAAAGTTTTTACAGCTATTTTAGTAAAGGGTGGCAGAGCCAAAAAAAATGGCTGTTTTTACGTTTCGTTAGTTTTCCGTGCAGAAACCTAGGCTAAAACCATGTGTTTCGTGATCAGCGCCAAAATAAGCCCGTCAAAAATAATATATAAATAAATAAATAATAAAAATAAAAATAAAAATAAAAATAACAAAAAAACGAGAAAAACGAAGGCAAATCGCGAAAAGCGGCGGAAAGGCTATTGATCTGAGGGTCGCTGGTTCGACTTCCACTGGTGACAATATTTTTCAAAAATTTTTTGCTAAGATTCTGAAAATGCGAGTCTAGGGGTTATTTTTGACGCCGATCACGAAACACATGTTTTTAGCCTAGGTTTCTGCACGGAAAACTAACGAAACGTGAAAACAGCCATTTTTTGGCTCTGCCGCCCTTTACTAAAATAGCCGTAAAAACTTTTAGAAAAGAGATACCTCAAAACGATTTTTACCAATCGATCCGTCTTGAATTCAGCTTTAGGATGAGCTATAAAACGTCAAAATTCGAAAATTCAAGGTACTCTCCCAAAAAATCGGAAAGGACTTTTCCACCAACCCAATAGTAACAATGGTACAAATAGTAACGATGGTCCAAATAGTAACAATGGGAACAAATAGTAACAATGGTACAACTGGTAACAAATGGTAACTTAATTAACTTAATTACAAATGATGACTTGTAGTTATGCTAAGAAATGTTATAGGTTAGCCTTTGATAACTTAAAATCATAAAGAATCAATTTTTTTTAGTTCTCTATAAACAGGATGCTCAAATCATGGATTAAGCTGCTCAGGCTAGACTTATTAAAGTCAAGTCCCACAGGCAAGGTCAGGCTCAGGTCAGATCAGGGTCAGGCAACAGCCAGAACCTGGTTTTACTGAGATTTAGCTAGAAAAGTACAGAATTCGACAAAGTATCTGTGCAGCTCAGAAACCAGGACCACAATTCACTTCCAGGCCTGGCTTCTGAGCTGCACAGATACTTTTCGTCGACTTTGCTTGCAAGAGAATCTTTACAATTCTTTGTTTCTTTTAGTCTGGCAAATTGCCTTTGAATCAACGCTGTTTATGATGAAACAATCGATTACACTCTCCCGTATTCTCCTATATTGACCGGCGTCACTGAATATCTTTTCAGTGAAGGATCTTCCCAAGATTTGGGTTCTTCCCATGATTCAAATCAAGTAAACTAAATATTGAAGAATCAAAAATGAATGATTTGAAAGCTTTGAAATGAAAATCAGTCAATCAAATCAATCAACACAAAACGTGTGAAAGGTGTTTCAAATATTTCAAAAAAGAAAAAAGAAACGCTTAAAATGATTCTATCAAAATCCCAGTCAGCAAGTCGATCTTTTTCTGGCGCAAAGGCGGAAATTTATGGCTTGATGAGATGTGAAAAGAGAAAAAGAGAATAAATGTGAAAAGCAATGTGAAAAAGAGAAAAGGCTTCACTGAAAAGATATTCAGTGACGCCGGTCAATATAGGGAATAAGGGAGAGTGTAATCGATTGCTTGCCTTGTGCGTGACGGTGTAAACATCCGTTTATCAATGATTTAGAGAAATGAATCCCGATTTATTAGTCAGCTATTCATTTTCAATTTTATAATTTTCGGTTTAATTCATTTACAATCGAATTGAACACAAAAATTTAGCAGTGGGACTTTTGAAAATCAAAATAGAATAGTTCAAAGGGGCTAATGTTGAAATAGCTATTATCCGAATTTCTAAATTACGAATGACGCATTTTGAGGTGTAAACTTTTATGCGTAGAGCATAGGAAATCAGATTTTTGGAATTTTCACAAATTCCAGACTACACAAAAGTGATCTCGTAAAAGTGCTAAAGTGCTATTTTTTGATTTTTAAATTATGTACACGAAATGAAAACTTGATTCAAGTGTGGGTTTGGTTGCTCGATCTGCTCTACAAAGGTTTATTGGCTTAAACTGCTTACAATTCATCGCATTGGCAAGAATTTTCAAGCGAGAAAAAATGTTGCGGCCAGTCACTTTAGGGAATGCAGAGTGTAAGTGGTCAAAATAGAGTTAGCTCCTCAAAAATCTGCAAAAAACCCGACTTTCACAAGAGTTTGGTTTTGACTATATAGTGGAAAATGACGGCCCTAAAATCATTGTCCTAAAAATATCATTCAAAATAATTAAGAGTCGGATCATTTCATGGGAAAACTTTGTTTTTACAATATTGTATGAATATTGTATGAGTATCACTGTGCACTTCTCTATGATTTCTTTCACTTTATCGTTTGAATAAAGTATTAATATTATTATATGTTTTCTTTTTTGTGAAAAAACCGGTTTTTTCACAATTTTGAGGGTTTTGAACTTACACTCTATCTAAATTTCTGTAATTCTGCATTTCCGTTAGACTTTTTTAATTAATTAATATATAGTTATCCTTTTTTGGTTTGAATCTTCATTTTTGGGAAGCTAACTCTATTTTGACCACACTAAACTTGTCCCTAAAGTGACTCGATTCCTTTTTTTGGTCACATCCAACTTTGAGCTCAAATTTCTTGGTGTTGGGCTGTTCAATTTTAATATTCTTGGTATCATTAGATGCGTCATGTCTTTCTCTATCGATTGGTAGAAAAACTATTTTAATTGAACAGCCGCACACCAAGATATTTGAGCTCAGAGTTGGATTGTCAATGGCAAAAGGGGCGGTCAAAAAGTGCCCTTTTTTGGTCACTCGCTTTCTCACTCATTTCGCCCTCGAAATCTCTTCAATGCTTCGATCAATTGAAACACGTTTTAGCCTATTTTGTAGAGGAGATTTGCAACTTTCAAATAGTTTATAACTATTCATCGATAGTTTCATAGGATACCGATGATCGTTTCTATAGTTGGAAATTTAGGAAAATGTTGAAATCCGCATTTCTTATGCATGTACCTAATAGAAAAAAACCTCCAGAGAAATCACCATGGGGATAAAAAGAAAGAGAAAAAAGAGGAAAAGTGCAAAACAATTGACCAATAACAAAGAGAAGTGAAAAGATTTGCAAACAAAGAGATTACAAGCATTATCATTTGCAAACAAAGAGATTACAAACATTATTTGGCATTTTGTTATAAAATGGTGAAATAGTGTAACTTTTCATAGCGCCAAAACTAGTGGCCTATTGAAATTCATGTCAAATTTCATGTTGAAATGTGTTGCCGGTTTCTATGCGCTCAAAAATTTCATTGAATAGACAATTTGCAATATTGATAATGAAGTTTGGTATAAATTCTGCGCTTTTATTGATCAAGTTTTTGAGAAATCACATTTTCTCACCTGCTTTTGATCGGTGGGCCATAAATTCCCTCACTTCGGTACCGAGTTCGTCGGCGTCTTCGTCGACTTGTCGGACCTCCTCCTTCTGAATTTTTGGGATTGGATTGGATACATTTTGGCTTGGATTGAACACATTTTGGGATTGGATTGGATACATTTTGGATTGGATTTAGTTTAACACAACTTTGGGATTGGATTGGATACATTTTGGGATTGGATTTAGTTTAATACGCGAAGAGCCGGCTACCGGCGGGCCGTACGTGGATTTAGTACTTTTTTGAGGCCGATTCGGTTGTAAATTGCAATTAGGGGTTTTCGAGGATGAGGAATTCGAATTCATTATTAATTTTGGAAAGAAAACTGCTCTATTTTTGGATATTTGATTCGGTTTAATTACCCAAGTTTTAGAGAGTTTTGTGATAACCGGATTGGCTTGAAGCTTGTTGCTTAAAACTTGTTGCTTATTGAGAGTTGCTTAAAAACTAATAGCGGATACAGATTCTCTATCCCAGAATGACTTCGGTTACAAATTTTCAGGTCTACAGCGGATAGCTGTCGTCCGAAACGGCAGCCAAGCCAAAAATGTTTTGACTTTCGGATAAATTCGGTTCTGATCTGAATAAATTCGGTTCTATTAAACGTTCTTTAAATGTTGTGAATGTGTTAAAAGCATTTTCAAGTGATAAAGTAAAGGGAAGAATGGTAAAGAAAGATTTCCAGAGAGAGGATTGAACCGTCGACCTTTTACTTTCTGGGCTTTCTGGTAATCTAATCTTCATACCACCTAACAACTTGACTTTAGGTTGTTCTGATCGGTCTAACTGGTATGTAAGTGGTTAATGTTGTCGCTTCGTTAAACTTATTTCGCGGTTTTCGCTCTCATCAATCTCTAATGTCCAAAGGCACCTACAAGAGTCATCTCGCCATTTTCTACTCTCACATGTGATAAAGATTAAAACTATGGGCCGGCAATTTTCTATTTTTTCAAATATCGCAAGACGCAAGCAAAGTCTGCCTTTTTTCAGAACATTTACCCGGTTTTTGTCATGATTCTCCCTGTCATCCTCACTGGCATCAGCTTTACCATCAATTATCTGCAGACAACTAACCACTGAACTATCCGATATCTTCTTGTCAGAGAAGAAAGAGGAAACACAAGAGGGAAGAGAAAGAAAGAAAGAGAGAGAAAGGAAGAAAGAGAGAGAAAGGAAAGAGAAAGAAAGAAAGAGAATGAAAGAAAGGAAGAAAGAAAGAGAAAGGAAGAAAGAGAAAGAAAGATAGAAAGAAAATAAAGTATATTATATTATGGAGTTATCCTTGGCTAGTTTAGATTTCTATCTAGACTGTTCTATCTACTTTTCTATCTATCGACTTTTATGATTACTCTAATCTAGCTTTTCTGGAACTGTCACGAGCCATATTTATTTTCAAAAGATCTATATGTAAAGACTATAATAAGTAGAAGTAAGTAGAAGTAAATAGAAGTAAATAGAAGTAATCCAGTAGTACCCAGGCTTCATTACCCAAACATTCTACATTTCTGCTTTTTACCTGATCTCGTCGAGGACATCGGTTCATTGGCTAGGCCAGCTTCGAGAATTCCGGGATCAGCAGGGGAAATCTCATCACCAACAACGGTCGGCAAAGAGCTGGAAAGTCATTCATTTCACTGTCTGAGAAAGAAATCTCATTTAAACGTATTGAAATTATATTACCAACAAGTATTGAAACTTGTTGGGAATATAAATAGTTGTTTTAAGTCATTCCCCAGATCACAGATTTGATTCATTTCCCAGATTTAAATCACAGATTATTGATTTGTTAACTTGAGTGTTTTCCAATTGTTTTCTAACTGTTTTCCAGCTTTTTTCTAACTGTTTTCTAACTGTTTTCTAACTAACAACTGTCTCCTACCTTACCCCTATTTGTCCGCCATTTCATAGCATTCTTTTTCTTTAGTCAAATTCGTTGTCGCAATTTTGTTTTAAAAGAATTGCCCAATATTCAACTAATCAAATTGTATCCAACATCAAGGAAATCAAGAAAACAAGTAAATCCTGTAATAGTACCCGACTCCCCTCGTACAGTCGTGTAGTCGCAAAAGTTTTTAGTATTTCATTTTGTTTTCCAGCGCCCATACTTTGAAAAAATGTGTTTTTGGTATCAAAAAATCTCAAAGAGATTTTGTTGAAAAAAGATATACCATATTTTCTCTAATAGTAGCGCACCCTGAGCGTCGCCTAAATTGCTGGAAATCTCGAGAACCGTCTATCAGAACCCATCGATGTGGGGTCGGAAAATGTAGCTGACGATGAGATCTAGTGGGGGATTTGAGTGTTGAGCTTCTGTAAAACCTTGGAAACTGTAAAATAGTCACCAACTCGGCTCGGCGCGGTGCACTACTATTAGAGAGACAACGGTACCTCAGTGCAGTCTTTACGATTTTTTTTACCAAACCTCCCTTAAAAATAATGCCGCCACCAACAAAATTTCTATTTAAATTATTAAAAAGCTTGATTGTTTTTCTGCAAAACGGTTTTTGGAAGATTCTCGAAAGTCGTTGTTTTTATGGATTTTCAAAGGCGTAAAGGCGAGCACTCAAATCTGCTCTGATGCTCAATGACTGCTCCGATGCCAATTTGAACACTTTCCTCAATACAAACCTATTTTGAAGCAAAAGTAAAAAAGATAGAGCTTATTTGATTACATAAGTCTGTAAAATTTGAAAACGATTCGTCCAGCAATTCTCTTTAAAACAATAATTGAAAATGTTGCATAAAAATGATTTTTTTATCAAGTTAAGGCGAGCTTTGAGCTTTTGGTTTAAAAGCGATTTTGTAGAAAAATGAGTTTTTCATAGTTTACAACAAATTTGGTAAAGGATTCTTATTCATGGAAAGAAAAATTTGACAAAATTTAGAGATTTATGCATTAACCTAATATCTTTTGAGATCTAAGCGCGCATTGTAGCATAAACCAGTGGGAAACTCGTTGAAAGCTAGACTACGCAACACTCCGAATGAGCATCGGTACTATTACAGTGTTTACACTACTTATACAACAAAAATCTCGAAAAATCTCCAACCGAACTGACGACGAAGCGATTAAAGGAGTCTTCTCGTTGTAGTCCGGCTCGACCATCGGCGGTGGGATGTTTTTGGAGATTAAGCGCTGAAAAATGAAATGTGAAATGTAAATTGAAAGAGAATCTGAAGAATTCTTAATAAAGAAGGTAAACTTAATAAAGAAAGTAAAGAAATGACGAAATTGAGACTTTTTTTAGGACTTTTTAAAACTTTTAGTCGAGTTTTAGAGGTATTTTCTAAAGAGCCTTGCTAGCAGAACCAAAATAAAACCCTGTAAACTGTAAAACTGTAAAACCCTAAAAACTACAAGTCGTAATGGCAAAGTTTTCAAATTTTACCTTCAAAATTCATTTAATGCTTTTCAAAACGTGGATTTAAGATCGATTGTTATTGAATTTTAATTTTAGAATTCGGAAACTGCCCGAAACAGAAACAGTTGGAAAAATTCGTTTAAAAAAAATAAAATCCATCAATGTTTACTTGGTTTTTGGGAAAGTTGTTGAAAAGAGAATGATTAAAAAGCAAAAAAAGAAAAGAGAAAGAAGAGAAAAGAGAAAATACAGTGAAAAGAAGAAAAATAGAGTGAAAAAGAAGAAAACAGAGTGAAAAAGGAAAAAAAATAGAGTGAAAAGGAAGAAAAATAGAGTGAAAAATAGGAAAATAAGAGTGAAAAAGAGTTCGAGGGTGAAAAGTGGCTCGTGCTTTTGATGCTGAAGTTCGATTTTGATTTGATTCTTTTCAAAGTTTAGGACAATTTTTGAAGCAAAACTTTTTAAACTTTCAAAAAACAGATATTTCAAATAATGAAACGCATTCTTGGATCGTTTTTCTTTTAAAGCTTTTGACAATTGTGAGTTTTTTTTAAACTGATTCAAACAGCAACTCCAACAATGCCAACAACTCAACTTTTCCTCTTTTCTTAGAGTTAAAACCAAATTTGCAGGGCAAAACAAACAAAAGAAAAACAGCTATTTTGTTAAGCTAAATAGCTAAATTTATCTATTAATATATTAATATATATCTATTAATATATAATATATAAAGGAGGGTAAACAGTTCAACTAGTTTCTGCACCTATATCAACAAAAGAATCTAAAGAAACTAAACAAAATCAAAAGAAACTAAACAAAAACAAACTCCGTTCAGTTTCGGACGTCCGAAACTGAAACGGACGTCCGGCTCGGAATCGAACGTTCGGCTCGGAATCGGACGTCCGAAACTGAACAAAGACAAACTCCGTTCAGTTTCGGACATCCGGTTCAGTTTAGGACGTTCGGCTCGAAATCGGACGTCCGAAACTGAACAAAGACAAACTCCGTTCAGTTTCGGACATCCGGTTCAGTTTAGGACGTTCGGCTCGGAATCGGACATCCGAAACTGAACAAAGACAAACTCCGTTCAGTTCCGGACGTCCGGTTCAATTTAGGACGTTCGGCTCGAAATCGGACGTCCGGCTCGGAATTGGACGTCCAAAACTGAACAAAAGCAAACTCCATTCAGTTCCGGACGTCCGGTTCAATTTCGGACGTTCGGCTCGGAATCGGACGTCCGAAACTGCACAAAGACAAACTCCGTTCGGTTTCGGAAGTCCTGTTCAAAATCAGACGTCCAAAACTGAACAAAATTTTTTGTTTTGTTTCGGACATCCTGACGTAACATATATATCTATTTTCTTTAAAGTTTGCAAGTTTGAACAACTGCTAAGTCAAACAAAAACAGCTGGCAATGAGTCAGAGTTGAGCTGTCCCAAAAGATTCACTTTACGGACAAGAGAGAAAAGAGAGTTCAACTTGCGAAAACAAGAATTGAAGTTGTTCTAAATTTTGTTCATTTATTAAACGTACCCTTCTTTCCGGGATATTCTCATCGGAGGGCGGCTTGTTGACGAGAATTGACACCTGCTTTTTGGGGCTCATCTTGAAGATTGCCGCCACTTCGAGTTTCTCGTCTTCTGCAGGTTTTGCTTCCATCTAGAACAAAGATATAAGATAAATCGGCATTAATCGGCATCGGCAATTATAGAATATTGTTTATACTCTAACTTTCTTTAAAAGTCACTGGTTGGTCGAATGATTTGGTTTCTTTCAAGCTTTTATTACAGATGAAACTCTTACAACTAAACTCAAATATACAACTTGGACTTTTCGAATTTTAAGATACCTTTTCTAGCTCCCGCCTGCAAGCCTGCAAGTTCAATTTACTCTAGAAATTTCCACACTTACTTGTACATCTTTGCTCAAAGCTTCATCTTTATCCTTGCTGACTTTTCGGCCACCTTTCAACGCCGGATAGAGAGGGAATTTGAATTTGGATTTTAGATCGACAGGAGTCTCGGCAGCAGGAGAATCGATATCTCGAGAAGCTGAAAAGAATTCTATCTAATAATCATGGCTTATCGTAAGTAGGCACTTATTGTAAAATCAATTACTGAATATCTTAACGCTTATTAGGCTGTTCAGAAAGCTTTTTTGTTCCTTTTCATACTCCCATTGAAAAATAACAAATTCACCAATTAACCTATGGTTTACTCTAAATAAAATATGTTTATTATTCAATTTCCCATCTTTCTAAGTCAATTTCGGTTCACTTTTATGCAAATTCGAGATGGAAAAAGTGTTTTTTTGAGAAATTCTATAGTGTTTTTTGTAAAGACCTATAAAAACCTCTACAAAGAAATTGGCTGGATGAATCTCTCCGAAAATCTAGCTATATACCAAACGTTTTGTGCTCTATCTTTTATCTATTAACACCAAGATATGTTTCCTTAGCTAAAGTATCGAAACCGTATCATCAAACCCTCGCTTACCCGACTTTTTGACTACCCGACCTCACGCTCCTAAAAAGGACAAAATCCAGGCATAAGACAAATTCTTTATATGATTAAATGCGCCAAGGCTTTCTCTATCGATTGGTACAAAAACTCTTCAAATTGGACAGCCCAACACTAAGGTATTTGAGCTCAAAGTTAGATTGCCAATGGCAAAGGGGCGGGGCGCGTATAAAAGCCCCGCCCCCTTTAACCTATGGTTTACTCTAAATAAAATATGTTTATTGTTTAATTTGTCACCTTTTTAAGTTAATTTGTGCCCACTTTTAAGCAAATTCGAGAGTGAAAGAGTGTTTTTTTGAGAAATTCGAGAGTATTTTCGAGAAAATCTTTAAAAACCTCTACAAAGAAATTGGATTAATGAATTTCTCTGAAAATTTGACTAATACCAAACTTTCTGTGCCCTATCTTTTTTCTATAGACACCAAGGTAGGTTTCCTTAGCTAAAGTGTGACTTTTCTAAAGCGAAAGTGTTGGCATCATCGAGCCGCGCTCTTTTTCACTACCAGACTTCAAGCTTTCAATAAAATCCAGACATAAGACATTTTAAACCCGTTTTAATCTTATTTTACAAAAAATAATTGACCTTTCTAATGTAAACAAACCTTAGTTCAATTGATGCATTTTTTGGTATTAAATGGAAGTACGAAAAGAAACGAAAAGACTTTCTGGACAGCCTAATACGTACCTTAGCCATTCTCAATAAGCTAAACATTGATCCACAAATAAAAGGCTGAAAGAACTGCCTCCCCAATAAATCTAAGTACGAAAAGGAACGAAAAGACTTTCTGTACAGCCAAATAGTTATCGCTTTTGATATGAAATTTACCTGGTAGATCAACTTGTCGAACCATTTGCAACTTTGGAGGCAAAACTTTTTCAGGCGGTGAATAGGAAATGTACTCTTTTTCAAGCGGTGAATTGGCTCGTGCCTCAATTTCCTCAGGCTTTTCAACTTTGTCTCCAATAGGTTGATCATCGAGAAACTCTTGCAAATTCTCTTGCTCTTTTGAATCATCTTGAGAAGCGACAATAGCATCCAGAATGTCGTCTGCTTCCATTGGTTCTGCTTGAAGAGAATCAATGGGTGGTTCTGCGGGTTCTTCCGGTGGTTCTGCGGGTTCTTCCGGTGGATCTTGACTCGAGTTCTTTGATGAAGCTGGGCTCTCGTACTTGAAATATTTCACATCACCAAAAGAAATGTTCGACGTTTTTCTTTGTCTAGGGGTATCGGGTCGGGAAAGGGCTCTTTTTAAGGGTTCTGGAGTTACAGGCTTTTCTAACTGAATGTCCATAGGTTCAACTGTAGCTAGTGCTTTATTTTCTGAAGATATTTCTTTCTTTAGAGATTCTTCTAAAGGTTTTTCCGACTCTTGAACTGTTTCAGCAGTAAGTTCTTCAACTTCAACAGCAGTAATTTCTGGAGTAACGTCAATTTGAGCTCCATTTCCCAGCTCTTGAACTGCTTGAAGTTCAGTTTCTTCAGCTTTTACCTGATCACCTGATTCACCCACTTCCTCAGTTTTCTTCATTTCTTCGATTCTTTGATCTTCATCAACTTTTGCAACCATTTCAACCATTTCTGGTGCTGTTAAAAGTTTCACCGGTTCATCAGCATCAAATTCTTCAACATCACTCACAATTTCTTCTTTTTCTTCCACTTTCTCCGGCTCTGGAATCTTCTCAATCAATTTTTGAAGAATATCCGCTTCAACTACCGGTTTTTCTTCAAGATCTTCAGCTATTTCCATCTTTTCCGGTTCATGAGTCTTCAAAACATTCGGAACTCTATCAGCGAATTCAAAAATTTCATCTCCATTCTTTGAGATTTCAATTTCGGGTTCCTTAGATTTCTCTTTCACAGCTAAACTCTCATTTGAGCCGATTTCTTTGGTTGATGAATCACTAGAATCTTCTGGTGGATTGGAGAATTCTGTACTTGGTTGGCTTGGTTCTTCTTGAACTTGTTCTACTGCTTCATTGACTTCAGGAATCGGCTCTGTGCTCATTGTTGAATCCGGATTGGCTGGCGAATCAACGAAATCTGTTGCAACTTCTTGTACTTGAACCTCGTCAGCTTTTTCAAGTTGTTGTTTATTCTGACCAGAGTCAATTGGTGATTGGGATTTGTGATCTATTTCAATTTTTGGACCACTTTCTTCAAGTTCCACGTCCGGCTTCTCATCTGACATCCTAAAATAAGTACACTTATGAAATAAATCTCATTGAAAATAATAAAGTAAAGTAAGAGATGGTTAAAATAAGATTTCTGGAGAGGAGATTAAACCCTGGATCTTTTTGCTTTCCGAGCAAATGCTCTAACCCTAGCTAGCTCTTAACCCTCTTAACCTTAACCCTAGCTCTTAACCCTCTTAACTCTAACCCAGTAAGGAGTTTCTTGAGCTTCTCGCCAGAGAAGAAAGAAGAAATATAAAGGGGAAGAGAAAGAAAGAGAAGGAAATACTCAGCTCTTCTGACTTAAAGACTTAAAGTGGACTTGAAGATCAGAACACGGGCATTAGTAATAGAGTAAAGAAAGGAATAACAAAGAAAGTAAAAAGAACTCTCGCAAAGAGCAAATGTAAAAGAATCTAAGCTCTTTAAAGAATCTAAGATCTTTAAAGAATCTAAACTCTTTAAAGAAGCTAAGCTCTTTAAAGAATCTAAGCTCTTTAAAGATTTTTCCCTACCGAATTTTATTTGTTCTCAAAGCAATAAATACTTTAACTTAAAGCACAGAGACAAAGTTGACAGTGATTTTAAGAGGTGATTTAAGAGGTTTACTTTAAAAACGGATTCAGGAGCTCGAATGGAAATCGCTAAATGGTTCGACAAGACGAGATTCTCGCTGTGAACTTGAAGAGAATCAAGCTGGAGTCGAGCTTGATTCGTCGAGGGAACTCTTGAAGTAATCATTTAAAAGAAAAAAAAGGAAGTTTTATTTCAAAGAAAGAAAACATTTCTAAACAGAAAGAAAAAGAAAAGCTACAATTACAAAAGTATTAGAGAATTTGCTTGTCTTTATTGCACGCCAAAGCTATACATTGTTTGTATGCAAAATGAAAAGAGCTTGTTGTTTTCAACTTCAATTCAAAGTTGTTTTCAACTTGGAATTTTTAAAAGATTGAAGAGATAGATATCGAAATTCCTGAAGCTATGCAATCATAGTTTTTATGAAATTAGAAATCTCAGAGAGTTTTATGAAATTAGAAATCTCAGAGAGTCAAAGAACGGTTAGCTACTCTAAGAAAGCTACTCTAAGAATGGAGAATCACGAGAAAAGATCCAAAACGGAGTCCCTTATCAGTGCAAACTCTCATGATTAAATCAATATTCAGGAAAAGGGCAAAAAAAACTGTTTCAATCACTCACTTTCTTATCGGATATTTGTAGTGTGTGCTGTTTATTGCTGAGGAAAACAAAAAGGTTTAAGGTGAGAGGATTGGAAATTGTGATTGAAGAAATGAAATGTAGATTTTCAATATTTATTTCTACAGATTCTACAGTTTTATACATATCCGTCGAACTCATGATCGGCGTGAACAAAGGCTCGCTCGACTATTGATAGCTTTTGGAGCTTTCGTTGGAGTGGAGAGACTACCTGAATTTTAGTTCCAACACATGTAAATAGATTGATATAATCTCTAATAGATCTAGTAAATTTTAATATTTGAATAGTAGAAAAAAGGATGTTCTAGGGCTTGTAAGCTAGATGAACCGTTTAGAAAACAGAGAAAACAAGAGAAATAGAATTGACGTGCAAACCTCTAGTTAACAATAAGCTAGATGGTCGATCTAGCTAACAATAAGATAACAATAACAATAAGCTAACAATAACAATAAGCTAATAAGTCTGTGAGTCTTGCCTGGTCCAAGCCCAGGGCCCGGATCTACACTTTACTAGATCTAGCAAAATTTTGCAAGTTGCTAGATTTGGGAACTAGTCGGATCCACACAGCTGGCAAGTTAGCAAGTCCAACTAGGAAGTTAACAAGTCCAACTAGGAAGTTAGCAAGTCCAATTAACAAGTTAACAAGCTCAACTAGCAAGTTAACAAGTCCAATTAGCAAGTTAACAAGCTCAACTAGCAAGTTAACAAGTCCAACTGGTCAGTTAACTATTGTTAGTTAGCAGCTTATTGTTAGCTAGATAAGACTATCTAGCTTATTATTAACTAGAGTTGCACGTCAATTCTATTTAGCACTTGTTTTCTCTGTGTTTTCCAAACGGTTCTCCTTTGTCACAGAAAGTCTTTTCCTTTTCCGAGAAGGGATCAGTTGCGTTTTTCGAAAAGATTCCTTTTCCACTTCTGATTTTACCGCTTTGTGGATTTCTTTTGTTTCTTTATGCTTTTGCATTTATCACGTAAAGCAGGCATATTCTCTCGGGATTTTTGAGTATCTAGGGTATTTGCCTATGCTGAATCAAAATTTGACAACAGTTTTTAGAAATAATCACAAATTATATTGTTTTTAGCATTTTTATGTGTTACAAGTCACTTCCGAAGTGCACTTTTTGCAAGTGCAAAAAGAGCTAGATCAAGAAAAACAAAAAGTTTGCTAATTGACTTGCAAAATGAAAAATGCTAGATTTCAAGTGCTGTCAAATGCTGCCAAGTACTCGACCCGACTTGCAACTTGTTAACTGGCCAGTTGGATTTGTTAACTTGCTAGTTGGACTTGTTAACTTGCTAGTTGAACTTGTTAACTTGCCAGTTGGACTTGTTAACTTGCTAGTTGAACTTGTTAACTTGCTAGTTGAACTTGTTAACTTGCCAACTGTGTGGATTCGACTAGTTCCCAAATCTAGCATCAAATTTTGCTAGATCTAGTAAAGTGTAGATCCGGGCCCTGGGCTTGGACCAGGCAAGACTCACAGATCCCATATGAAGTTCTGCCTAACTTTTAACCAGGTTCAAAGTAAAACAAAATTAGGTTGATCAGAAACTAGGCTTAAATCTGACTTTTAGTCTAGCCTAGGCTTTGTCTCACATGGCCTGGAAAAATTGCTTTTGTTGGAAAGACTTTGGTAGCCTAGTACCGTCATTTTGTACCACTATAATTAGATATGTGGATAACAGTCTGATAGATGGATTTGTTCAGTTAACTTAGCTGTAAATAGCTGTAAATAGCTGTCAGCTGTCCATTAGCTGTCAGCTGTCCATTAGCTGTCAGCTGTCCATTAGCTGTCAGCTGTCAATTAGCTGTCAGCTATCAATTAGCTGTCAGCTATCAATTAGCTGTCAGCTATCAATTAGCTGTCAGCTATCAATTAGCTGTCAGCTATCAATTAGCTGTAAGTACAAATTCTACAAGATCGGTACGAACTGGTCTTTAATCTAAAGATTATACATTCATTTGTAGTGTCTTTACATTTGTAGTGTCTGTACCTCGTCATGTACAACTTTGCACGTCAAATTCGCATCGACCACTACATGCACTTCTACTAGTAGCTAAAATGCCATTTATGAAAGCCGACTACGATCTTTTTTACCTTCTCTCCTGTATGATAAACAAGTAATGTGTCGAGACCACGAATATGTGATGAATGTTCAATGCAAACCCTCGCTATTCGACTGTATTCTTCGGCTAAATGGTAGAGAGTAGAAATTCCAATTCGAACCTAATTCCGGCTTCGTTTTGTCAGCCCTTTCCTAGCCGATTGCTCTGAAATTTTGGCTACAAGCTGAAAATGTCAATTTCTATCTGTAGACAAAATTTCAGAGCAATTGGTTAAGAATCGACCGAGAAAACGAAGGTTGAATTAGGTTGAAAATTCGGGTTGAAATTTTCCCAGTGAGTGTTTAAATCTATAAAAAATCAATCGTTTTCAGCTTTCGGAAAACTCACGCGTGCCAGCTCTTCCACTCATTTGGGGAAACTGTTCCAAGACTACTTGAATCCACGAATAAGCAACATACGCTCTAAAATATTCATTAGAGAAAGGATTGTTTTGCATACGAGATCAGTGAAGCAGCCAGTGGATCAGCATAAGACCACCAGCGAGCGCTCAGTGCACCTAGAAGAAAGTTGTTTGGCTTTATGATAATGATAATGTTTTGATGATAACCGATAATGGTAAAACATGAATGTGAACCTAAGCTTAACCTAGCTTAACCAAAGCTTAACCTAGCTTAACCTAGCTTAACCAAAGCTTAACCTAGCTTAACCTAAGCTTAACGAAAGCTTAACCCAAGCTAAACCTAAGCTTAACCAAGCTTAACCCAAGCTTAACCTAAGCTTAACCTAGCTTAACCTATATCAGAAAGCGAATCTTCTAATACAAGTAGAATTGTTTATTTATTCAGCTGACTTTTAAAATTTTTCATATATTTAGATTCCCTAGACTCTCAGCAACATTTTCGTATGTTATGCATGAGATTTGGAACTAAGCTCGAGGAGTAACACGCGCTCAAGCGCGCGACAATACTTAGCCGACAATACTAGCCACCCTGAGCCCCAAGTCTCAGTTACCTACTATTGCTACTGTCACTGTCATCGAATCATTCCGTTGATCAATCGCCAAAACTCGACTCGATGTTGTACCTAGAAAGAATAAGCTCATTTTCGAGTTTAACCTCTCTTATAACATACCTCTCTTGTAACAAACGATCCACAAGATAAACTTCGTAATTATTGTGCCAATCATGAGACCAATTGTGATATAGTCAAGACTTGGAGCCTCCTGAAGGCTGTCATTTCCAAATAATTTCCCATGCAAACTTTGCTAGCGAGGATGCTCTCAATTGATGTAAAAATGATGTAAAAGTTGGCCATTCCCATGATCACACCAATTAGAATGATTGAGAGATTCTCGAGTTTACTCCTTCCTCGGGGATAGGCTCGATAGTCGGTACGAACAATTGAATGAGATGCGTACCATAAGATGGCACCACTAAAGATTTTATGATCTCTAAGTCAATTCTGACGCAAAGCTGATCTCTTGTCTTTGATTATCGGATTTCTAATAAGAAGATAGAAGGCTTTTGTATCCAAGGATGGTTGACGAACATTTGATAAGCACCCCGCCCCTTTTGCCATTGGGAATCTAACTTTGAGCTGAAATTTCTTGGTGTTGGGCTGTCCAATTTCAATATTCTTGATATCATTAGATGCGCCAATTCTTTCTCTGTCGATTGGTACAAGAACTATTGAAATTGAACAGCCTAACACCAAGATATTTAAGCTCAAAGTTGGATTGCCAATGGCAAAGGGGGCGGGGCGTCATCAAATGTCCTACAATCCTTGTCTTTTGCTTGCACCGCACTACCAAAAAGCCGGAGCAAGTCAATTCAAGATCCTTGTCCTTGACTTGGATTTACTGGGCTTGTCTTGGCTTTTGGCTTTCCCATCTGGCAAATACCGAGCTTTAAAAATCTTTGTCCGGTCCTGCAGTTTTACAGTATTTCGAGAAAACGGACCAGCTCAACAAAACTTTGAAATCTGAATGAAAATGGACCAAAGAAAAAGGGAAATCAGTTTCTTTGTGGTGAAAGTCTTCGTAGTTCATCATATAGTCTCAAAACAATGAAATTCTGCTAGAAAGCTATCCAAATAACTTCCTGATTTCAACAAACCCCGTAATATCAACCACACTCTCCAAAAGTGTCGATATAATTGATAAAGAGGCTCCACCAGTGAGATACGTTGCTGCCACTTTCGCTAACAATAAAATGACATTGATGAACAAGACAGTTCGGGATAAAATCGCGTCTCCATGAGTCTAAAAGTTCCTTCTTTGAGAAAAGGAGATTTCTCATACAGATTCCTTCTTCTCAGCATCTTCTCCATCAGATGCTTCCATTTCAGCGTCGTCACTCTTATAAGCATCAATCAGTTGATCTTGATGTCTGTAAAGTAATGGAATAAGGAAGTACTAATGGAATAGTACTAAATTGAGTTGGTAAAACAACACTTTTGCGCTTATCAAGCTGTACTTTATCTTGGCTTTTGATATTAGGTTGGTGAATTGAAAACTGCGGGACTTTGAATTAAAATTTATTCAACACAAAACCATCAATTCATTCCAAATAATTTCCATTATTATTGACGCCCATTTTACAGGCAATTTGCGGATTCCTCTTTCGTGGTAGGATTTTGGTTTTGAATCAAAAAAACTTTCAAGGCCAATTTTTGACTGCTTCTTCCAAATCGAAGTGTTCTCCCGCAAGCTCATTACTCATGATCCGGAATAAATAGTAATCAAAAGTGGCGAGGTCCGGACTGTTTGGGGAATCCAAATCAACTTATTACCCTATCTTCAAGTCCAATCGACCGCTATTTGGTATTATTTAAAAGCGTGAAGCGTTCTCGTTAAAACTACTGGGTTGGTGAATTGAAAACTGCCGGACTTTGAGCTAAAATTTATTCAATATAAAACCATGAATTCATTCCAAATAATCTCCATTATTATTGACGACTTCTGCCCCTTTTACAGGCAATTTGCGGATTCCTCTTTCGTAGTAGGATTTTGGTTTTGAATCAAAAAACTTTCAATACCAATTTTTGACTGCTTCTTCCAAATCGAAGTGTTCTCCCGCAAGCTCATTACTCATGATCCGGAATAAATAGTAATCAAAAGGGGTGAGGTCCGGACTGTCTGGGGATGCGCCAAAAGTTCCCAAACAAGGCTATTTATTTTAGAGCGAGTCAGTTTTGCAACATGAGGGCGCGCGTTGTCGTGAAGGCGAACGATCTTTCACTTGGAGGGCCTATTCTTCTTCAGAAATTCATTCACCTTTCTCGACGGTTCACTGAAGTCGTCTTCTGCCCATTTTACAGGCAATTTGCGGATTCCTCTTTCGTAATAGGATTTTAGTTTGTGCGTGAGACAAGTGTGAGACTCAAAAATGGAGGACTGGAGATGTCCCAGTTTGAGCTTGAGCACTTTCTTCAAAAGAAACCCATTTTGGTGTCAATAGAAAAATTGTAGAGAATCAAAAATTAGGCTTCTAGTCAAATTTCCAAAAAGATACACTTAGTAGTTTCGCTTAAAATGCAAGTTTTGTGAAATTTGGTAAAATTGGCGACGTAAATTTGGCATTGCTTGAAAACCAGTGCTTGAATCGTTCTGAAAATCTGGATATAAGTTTAATTTTTGCTTCTCTACAACTTTTCTATTGACACCAAAATGGGTTTCTTTTGAAGAAAGTGCTCAAACTGTCACATATGACAATAGCCCGCAGTTTTCAATTCACCAACCCAATATTTTTCTCCATCTCTATACGAAAATCTTTTCCACAAACCTGTAAAATTCAGCAATTCGTTTATGCTTACAACATCCACACAACCTTTTGCATAGCTTTTTATTCTTCGGCTTTTCCGGTCTTGAATTCCTCCGAATGCTCTCAACTCTAGGCAATAATGGAGTCGTTTCCTTCATATTTTCTGGATCCATTTTAAGATTTTTTGAAGAATGAATCGATAGTAGTGAAAAAGTTTTAAAAAAAATTCACATCAGCTTGAGCAAAATATTATGTTTTGTTTGGGGAAAAAGACAGAAAAGAAGACGGTTCTCTGGGCTTATCATTGCAATTTTGGGGAGTGAAAACCTTTCACTTGATGGACAGAAATCAAAAATTCTGACCGAGCTGTGGAACAGGCCTCAACAAAGCCTCTTTTTCGTCACAAAGTACGATTGGTTTTGTGTCGAGAAAGCTTCCATTTTAGAGTTTTGAAGTGTTTAGCGTTTTGAAGCATTTCTGAAGTGTTCTCTTTGGAAATGGGATAATAAGGCTGTGATTTGTAAACGAATTCTTGTAGTTTGAACGAATTCTTGTCTGGGATCACTTCTCTAGGCCTTTCAATTCTCTCACCAAAGACTTCTGACTATGAAAGATCTATCACCCGCTCGTTATACCATAATCTTTGCCCTGATTTCTAGCTGAGCTATCTATTTTTTTAGTTGAATCTTGTTAACATTCACAAATAGCATCGAACAAGGTGAAAAGACAACCCATACGTAAATCAGAATAGAGATTGCGATACTTTTCTTAAAGTTGTCAATCTTGTACATTATTCAAAAGAGAAATTGAATGTCATCATTCTAATTTTAGCCGGCCCTAGTGGGTTACCCTAGTTTACCTTTTTTCTGGAACTTTCTGTTCTAAATCTTCCTTGTGTAAAGAAATCATTTCACTAGGAAACTTTTCCAGATCTAGTCCACTCAAACGTGCGAAACATGCGCGATGTGCCACCATGTAGTCAATGTAATCCGTATGACTACCAATGGGCTTTGATCGGTCTCTACTAGTATGGAGCACTTGATCAAAGGCAATTGGACTGACGACTCCCCAGTCGACTACATTTGGCTCATCTGGAATATGGAATACGCTAGAAATGGCTTGTCTGGAATCGCTGCGCGCTGGAAATGGCTCGTCTGGAATCGCTGCGCGCTGGAAATGGCTCGTCTGGAATCGGTGCACGCTAGTAATGGCTCATCTGGAATCGGCGCGCGCTAGAAATGGCTCATCTGGAATCGGTGCGCACTAGTAATGGCTCATCTGGAATCGCTGCGCGCTGGAAATGGCTCGTCTGGAATCGGTGCACGCTAGTAATGGCTCGTCCGGAATCGCTGCGCGCTAGAAATGGCTCGTCTGGAATCGGTGCGCGCTAGTAATGGCTCATCTGGAATCGCTGCGCGCTGGAAATGGCTCATCTGGAATCGGTGCCCGCTAGTAATGGCTCATCTGGAATCGGTGCGCGCTAGTAATGGCTCATCTGGAATCGGCACGCGCTAGTTCATCGTCAACTTTCCGGACTCAAATAGAGGAATCGCAAAGGAAAATCAACACGACTTTTGATTTGTATTATTTTCAAAAAGAAGTTTGGAAAAAAATAGACTTAAAGACTTATGCACGAACCTAATACAAGCGTTGCTAAAAACAAAAACTTTTTGCGGGGAATGTGTTTATTTTTGAATCAGAAATTCAATTCAATCAAAATAAGAATGTCAAAAAGATTAGAAATATTAGAATACAAATCAAATTTCTCAATCAATATCGGCAAGCATGCTGCTCGTCGACTTTTTTGGACGTTTCTGTGTCTCTAAGTCGGCCCTCGCCGTCTTCGATCAACTCGGCTCCAGTTCGAGCGTCGATTCCGATCTAAAAAAGTTACTAAAAAGTTAATAAAAGTTAATATAAAAGATAATAATTAAAATTTAATATAAAGCTTTACATTAAACAGAAAATATTGTTAATTTTATTATATGAAATGAGAAAAAAACTAGGGTAAAGGTACAGCCATAAAGGTAAATCTTTAAGCACCCAATTTCATGGCTTCTTGCTATGTAGATAATGTTACTGCTTCTATTTCTAAAGAAAAAGATAAGCTTTATGAAAATAGGAGTTAATTTATGATCCTATATTACAAACAACAATTACAGTAACTCCTAGAAAATTTCCACAGTGCTCACCGCTCTCTTTTCGTTGTTATCACCCTGAAGCCATTCTTTGTAGCCGGTCGATCCGAGACGATCCTAAAATAAAGCACTTTACTCTTAAACTGTTCAGTTACATAATTGTAGTTATTTTCATAGAGAAATCACAAGTTATTTGTAATTTTGATACCTGTGGCTTGAGCTGAAGCTTCAGTTCCTCTCTTTCCGGCCCTTTGTCTCCACGACCGCAAATCTTTCGATCCACGCACTTTTCGCTTGGGTTCATTCTCTAAATTTATTTCAAAAGATACTTCTAAAACAATGATAATCTTGGAAAGTGATTTAAATAATAAAGTTTCAACTTAAACACGAAGTAAAATAAAGGCTTTAGCGCCAAAGATGAGTGAGTCAAGCCTTGAGTCAAGTCAAGCCTCGAGTCAAGTCAAGTCAAGCCTTGAGTCAAGTCAAGTCAAGCCTTGAGTCAAGCCAAGCCAAGCCTCGAGTCAAGCCAAGTCAAGCCTCGAGTCAAGTCAAGTCAAGCCTCGAGTCAAGTCAAGCCTTGAGTCAAGCCAAGCCAAGCCTTGAGTCAAGCCAAGCCAAGCCTCGAGTCAAGCCAAGCCAAGCCTTGAGTCAAGCCAAGCCAAGCCTCGAGTCAAGCCAAGTCAAGCCTCGAGTCAAGTCAAGTCAAGCCTCGAGTCAAGTCAAGCCTTGAGTCAAGCCAAGTCAAGCCTCGAGTCAAGCCAAGCCAAGCCTTGAGTCAAGCCAAGCCAAGCCTCGAGTCAAGCCAAGCCAAGCCTTGAGTCAAGCCAAGTCAAGCCTCGAGTCAAGCCAAGTCAAGCCTTGAGTCAAGCCAAGCCTTGAGTCAAGCCAAGCCAAGCCTTGAGTCAAGCCAAGTCAAGCCAAGCCAAGTCAAGACCTAAAGAGCTGGGTACTTAACGTAGAAATAAATCTAAATCTAATCTAAAACTTCTTAAACTAGAATATATATACAAAAAGACACTTTATACATTATAAAAATCTTCCCAATAGCTTTGAAATCTCAAAAATTGCTGCCAGATTTATAAGGTTCCGCCTAAAGAGAGTTGTTTTTTTTGGGTTTTGCACTATTGTTTACTTCGTGTCCCCTTTTCGTCTCTTTCTGGCAAAGGACATCTCTTTTCTGGTCAATACTTTCGAAATAAGCCTTAAAGTACTTAAAGTTCATCAAAAATGTTCAAAATAAGAAAAAAAAATACTTGGTTAACGAAGTAAATAGAATAAAAATGAACTTGATACATTTGATTTAGGACAAAACCAATGAAATTTGTACCAAAAATACGCTCTAGTCTTAGAGAATGTGTCAAGTTCTGTTTTCTGCATGATTTAGAGCAGAAAACGTTTGATTTAGGACAAAACCAATTAAATTTGTACCAAAAATACGCTCTAATACAGCGTTACAGCATTTACAATAGGCAATAGCTGGAGTAGGCTAGTTTCCGCAATTTTTTTTTGCCCAACTGGGTCCTTTGCGTAGCTCGCCATAACTTTTCTCCAAGTGGACCAATCTTTATGATTTTGGTTTTATTTTGTAGATCTTAACAAGTGTAACAAAATGACACCACAAATCTTAAAGAATAGCCCATTTACTAGGAAGTTGCACCAAGTTAAACTCTATCAGATAAGCTAGGGTCAATTCAAAAATTGGTGCCGACTTGAGGTGGCGCCATTTCCTAGTAAGTGGGCCAATCTTTATGGTTATGGTGTCATTTTGTTACACTTATTGAGATCTACAAAATGACCCCAAAATGATAAAGATTGGCCGATTTAGAAGAAAGTTATGGCGAGTTGCGGAAACTAGCCTACCCCCAATAGCTTCCTTTTGTTGAGTTGAGGAACTGAACCTTTGGGGCGCTAAGAAAAGTTTTAAAAAACTTTTTCCAACTCATTGTTTCAATCCTAAGACTAAGCTAGACTACTATAGATTATTCAGCTTTAAAGAAACATCTTTTCGTTTCATTTACCACTCTCTGTCGATTCGTTCGATTGGGTCCCTGGATGACAAAGTCGGGCGCCGGATATTTGCCAAGACGAGTCTAAAAATTGGTTTTGATATTGAATCAAATTGCTATTTCTAAATGTAAAATGTTTAAATCCTTATAAATTCAACCATTGAAATACGTAACTCAACTTGATTTTACTCTTTTTGAAAGCTTACTTGCATTCCAAGCGGCATACTTGAATAGTAAAGATGAGGGTTACTGTAGCCTTAATTGATTGGCCGCTTATGGTTGTTAAAAGTCTAGAAGAATACTTTTAAACTTTTTGCTTCTTCTTTAGTTCATTGGCTTATCTTTTCTTGTTTTCTTGGACTTGTTTTGAACTTTTTTCTTTTCCAACTTTCTTGCTTTCTTGCTTTCTTGTTTTCTTGCTTTCTTCCTTTCTTGCTTTCTTCCTTTTTGCTTTCTTACTTTCTTGCTTTCTTACTTTCTTGCTTTCTTACTTTCTTGCTTTCTTACTTTCTTGCTTTCTTGCTTTCTTGCTTTCTTGCTTTCTTCCTTTCTTTTTAAGACTTTAACAAAGAGTTTAAGTTTACAAGAAGATTTAGAATATTGTAGTAAAATTGCAAGTTCATTAAATTTTGAATAAACCAAGAAGTTTGTGCTATTTACAACTCGATTTGAAACAAATAGATGCTTCTCTTCTACTTTGCTGTATTCAAAAAACTTTTAAAGAGACCAAACAGCAATAAAATTGCCATAAAGAGTCGAAATTTGATATTTAAGAAAATAGAAACTTTGCACTTTTTTAATAGGTACCATTCTTGGCTTGAAACTTGTTTGCATTTCATTTTCTCATTGACTTTGAACTCTAAAATTGATTGAGGTAGAGAAAAAAAACTTAAATTTTGTTATTTGTGATCTTTAGCGTTTAAAAAGCGCTTTATACTTGTTTATAGATAAAGTTTTGTCCAAAAAACGAAACTGGGGTTATAAATAGTTGAAGAAAGGGGAGTGGGACAAATGCAAATCCAAAAGTTGTTTTTCTAGGTAATTTGAGGGTGTGGAATTCAAATTTTGGCATATCAGAGCTTGTGGAAACGAACGGACGGAGTTATACAAAGAGAAAAATGAACAATTTCCTGTAATTTGACCTAGCCGTTTTGTCTTTCATTGGTTTTCAATTGGTTCCACACGCTCTGTTATGTCAAAATTTGAATTCCACACCCTCAAATTACCTAGAAAAACAACTTTTGGAATAGAAATTAGTTAATATTAGCTTTTAGAGCTTTTTTAAAACGCGAAAAAAGGTGCGCTAATGGGCTAAGTGCGGAAAAAAAGGTGCGCAAATGTCCGGGTGCGCAAAAAAAGGTCGCATTTGTCCCACTCCCGAAGAAATTGAAGATGGGAAGAGTCGATACCTTGTATCAACTCCAAAGCATTCAGACAATTGTAACGAAAAATAAAGTTAACTATTAAAAGCATTGAGACAATTGTTTAGGATCGGTAAAATCTTTGTTCTGTAAACGCTTTGGTGGACAAGCTCACGGGGAGTGATCTCTCGGGCCTCCGCGGCCGTTTGCACGTCATTAACAGTCTAAAATAGATAGGAGGATGACAAAAAACAAAAAAATGACATAAAAAGACAAAAAAATGACATAAAAAGACAAAAGCATATTAAACAAAAACATGTTAACATAAATTACTTGTAAATTTCGATTACAAACCACTTCCGGAGGTCCAATAGAGGCGTTGTTGATCGAATAGGGTAGTTGAAGAGAGCCGGTCGCTTTCTAGAGCTGTGATTGATTTTTTGATTATATTTTTTTATTATATATCTAATTATATAATATAATATAATAGAATAGAATTATATAAGTCATTATAGAAGTAGATATATACCGTAAATACTGTAATTGGACCCTACCCCCTCGTACAGTCGCGTAGTCGCAAAAGTTTTTTAGTATTTCATTTTTTTCAAAGCGCCCATACTTTCAAAAAATGCGTCTTTGATATCAAAAAATAGCCCTGAAATTCAGCGATGTTTTAGCTATTTACGGTAAGTGCGAAGAGAGATAAAAAAAATTGTATCCAGGGGTTTTCAAGGCCTTTGAATCGATTGACAATGACAATTGACGATTCATTTCGTTGTATAGAATCTATAAAATTCTATAAATCTATAGAATCTATGGAATCTATCAAAAAATAGCCCTGAATTTCAGCTATTTTTTGATACCGAAGCGCGCATTGTAGCATAGACCAGTGTCGAGAAAAACTCGTTCAAAGCTGAATACACAACACTCTGCACCGTCATTATGCGGGTGGGGTACTATTACAGTATTTACGGTAGTTTATTATAGAAGTTATTGTAGTTATGAGGGTGTATAGCTATGCGCGCTTCGAATTTCATAGTGCTGGCAATTTGCCAAGTATTTGCTTACGTAATATTTTCAACAAAAATAAACTACACACTACACACAATAAACTACACAATGCGATCCGGGATCTACGCAGAAGATGGGAAGGATTCATCGATAAAGATGGAGATTACCTTACCGATTGATTTTTGCTTGTTTGAGTTCTTTTTAACATTTCAATCAATTCAATACTAATTTTTAATCAAAAAACGCGCATTATTTTCTTTATATTCTGATCAGAACATTAAAAAACGAATATCGAAAGCCAAAAACTCCACAAAAATCTTTCAACTCGACCTGTTTAGTCTCTCGGGGCATCGTTTCAAAGAAGTTTTAGGATGGTGGATCTTGTAAAATCTGAAATCTTGTAAAAGCTTTATATAAAGTTGATTTATATTAGGTTGGTGCAAAAGAAATTTCGGTCGATATAAAATGTTCTTATTTTTTTAATCTGAAGAGCTTATTTGGTGTTCTTTTGTGCATTTGTACTCTTGGATATTTACTTTATTTTCGCATTTTTTCAAAGTCAGAGCTTTCACTTTTTAATTGATTTTTGCTTTAGATCATGGTGGATCAAAAGTATGTTCTGCGCACGTGTCTTCTCTATGACTTCAAAATGGGCAAAAACGCTGCTGATTCACATCGTGATCTCTGTTCCGCCTTTGGAGAACAGGTTATCACCGAAAGATCATGCCAGCTCTGGTTTGCCCAATTCCGAGATGGTAATGAATCCCTTGAAGACGAATCGCATGGACATCGTGCCACAGCCATCGACAACAATGAATTGGAACAATTAATTGAAGCTGATCCAATGCAAACAACACGAGAACTTGCCAAACATCTCCAATGTGATCATTCAACAATTGTACGCCATTTGGAAATAATTGGAAAGACAAATCGTAATGGACAATGGGTTCCACATCAATTGAGTGTTGAGAATCTGGGAGCACGCGTTTCGATCAGCCATATCTTGCTCCAAAAGTTGAAAAGAAGCCATTTTTTTGAGAATATCTTGACGATGGATGAGAAGTGGATTCACTTTGATAATACTTCTCGAAAAAGGCAATGGCTGAGCAAAGGTCAAGCGCCAATTCCAACTCCAAAGCCGGATTATCATGGGCGCAAAGTGATGTTGTCTTGCTGGTGGAATATCAATGGACTTGTTCATTTTGAATTATTAGAGCCCGGAAAAACAGTCGACTCATCTTATTTATTCAACAACTCAAGAAGGTTGACGAAATTTTGCGTGAAAAAGGCCTAAATCCCTCAACTATCAGCTTTCTCCGTGATAATGCTCCAGCTCACACGGCAAAAACCTCTTGTAAGGAACTAGAGAAGCTAGGATGGAAGGTCTTACCACATGCGCCGTATAGTCCAGACTTAGCACCCTCCGATTTTCACCTTTTCAGATCGATGCAACATTCCCTTGAGAATTGCCAGTTTAAGAATGCAAAAGAAGTCGAAAATTGGGTGACCAACTACTTTGCATCACAGAATCAAGCGTTCTTTGAGAAGGGGATCCGCAATCTGAAGCAACGTTGGAGGGATGTCATAGATAATAATGGTGCTTATTGTTTTAAATAAATTGTTATCTAAAAAAATTTTGGATGACTTTAATGTTTGTAAAAAAACGAAATTTCATTTGCACCAACCTAGTATGTCGTAGCCGTTTACGAAATTCAGCCGCTAACGAATGGGGGTATTTCCGGGCATCCAATCAAAAAGTCATCCACATAAAAAATGTTCATAATACATATATTTTATAATAAATTTTGGAAATTAGCTCATTTGGTTCAATAGAAAAATTTTTTTGAGCCCCCAAAGTTTAAGTTCAAAAATGCCCTAAAATGGCTATAAAAAATTTTCTACTCAGCCAAAAAACTTGCCTAATAGCTCATTTTGTAGCCAATTTGATGTAGTTTCTTAAAGTAAAGCCATCTAAAACAATTTTGCGTTGAAAGTAAGAGAAAGAGGGCGAGGAACAAATTCAGAGCAATTCTCAAATGTGAAAACAGCGACCGAGTTCAACTGAAGCCGTTCCTCGCCCTCTTTCTCCTAGCTTTAAAAAACAAATGTTCAATGTAGCTTTACTTTAAGAAACTACATCAAATTGACTACAAAATGAGCTATTAGGCAAGGTTTTTGGCTGAGTAGAAAATTTTTTATAGTCATTTTAGGGCATTTTTAAACCTAAACTTTGGGGGCTCAAAAAAAATTTTCTGCTGAACCAAATGAGCTAATTTCAAAAATTTATTATAAAATATATGTATTATGAACATTTTTTATGTGGGTGACTTTTTGATTGGATGCCCGGAAATACCCTCATTCGTTAGCGGCTGAATTTCGTGAACGGCCACGACATATATAAAGATAAATAGATTCAAACATTATAAATTGAAAAAAAACAGAACAATCTAGCAAAATAAAGCCACAAGGTCTATGAAAAACCTCAGTATAAACATATAAACAACTTCCTTTTAGCTTTTGTTGATCTGATAGGTTCGAATCGAGTTTATTTGACTGATAAGACGGTCTTTCTTTGGTATTGAACAAAAATATTTGAAACAATTTGAACAAAACAATTTGAAATACTAATTTATCGAATCTTAGCTTTGTTTTGAATGCGTTTAATACATTTATATTAAATAAATAGGGGCCCTCATGGTGTATTGGTTAAGTTCTCACTTCCAAACTGAGGGTGTGGGGTTCGGCCCCCCAAGGGTTCTCTTCCCTAGCCCGTGCGCCCAGACTAGAGGTCTCTTCTCTAGAGCTGACTAGAGATCCCTTCTCTAGCGGAGTTCACTCTTCCACTGGGTTGGCCCATTCATGGCCTGAGGTTATTAAAGCAAGAAGCCTATCTTCTATCTATCTTCTTTTCTCCCCGCCTCCACATCGCCGAGTAAAATATCTCATCTTTCTCTATGTATTTATGTGTAGATTTGTGTATTGTCTGACTGATTACGCTTTATTTCATGTCCTGAATAAAGTATGAATATAAATACGTCAAATTTGATAAATAACAAAAGATACGGCAAAAGTTCTGTTCTTTTCAAATTCTCTTTAATTAAATTCTCTCTGATTGTTGTTTTTATTTCATAAGTGTTTATAGCCAAAAGATAGCCAATTTTCCGCAGTATATAAATCTGTTTACCTTTTTGAAATAGCTTCTTTAAATTTTGAGTTATCACAATTTGAGTGACCTCTGTGATCAAACCGATTTTTAGCATTACTATTAGGTTGTTCGGATATAAACAAGCGTTGCTAAACTTTTTGTTGTGAGAGAAGCTTTTAAAACATATCTTTCTGTATTTAAAAGTACGTTATCTTGCGCATATTTGGAAACTTTTTAAACGTATAATTTGTTATTTTTAAGATCTTTTTTCTTGGTTTAAATGACCGACTTCAAATATATCAGTCTGCCTACGACTTAAATCGAAATCCCATCGAGATTTGGTCAAAGCGATCTTGGCGGTACTCCAATGCGATGACACCCCGCAGAAACGAATGACCAACATGAAATTCGTGCAAGCGGTGATCGACCAAGAGTGCAAGCTGAAGTGTCCAGCTTGGGGACAATGAAAGCGAGGGTCACCGGTCAACTCGCCTACGTTCCAAACTACGGAAATCGATGGGTCACTGGAGACAATGAAGGAGCGATCAATGGGGGACGAGATGAAGGAGTTCGCGGAGGCGGTGGTGACGGATCATCTTCCCATCCTTCTAAGTTTTATTGCCTTCTTGCTCTTCTACTCCTGCTCTTGCCCAAGCTTACCAAGCCCAAGCTTACCAAGCCCAAGCTTACCAAGCCCAAGCTTACCAAGCCCAAGCTTACCAAGCCCAAGCTTACCAAGCCCAAGCTTACCAAGCCCAAGCTTACCAAGCCCAAGCTTACCAAGCCCAAGCTTACCAAGCCCAAGCTTACCAAGCCCAAGCTTACCAAGCCCAAGCTTACCAAGCCCAAGCTTACCAAGCCCAAGCTTACCAAGCCCAAGCTTACCAAGCCCAAGCTTACCAAGCCCAAGCTTACCAAGCCCAAGCTTACCAAGCCCAAGCTTACCAAGCCCAAGCTTACCAAGCCCAAGCTTACCAAGCCCAAGCTTACCAAGCCCAAATTGTTAGATTGTTGTCAGATTTTGTTTTTAGATTGTTCCTTTGACTTTTTGCGAGCGGGAATGTGCAAAAAAAGTAGCTCTTTTCTGTGAAATGTAGCTCTTTGACTTTTCGATGCTTTGATTTTGAATATCTCTGATTCTCCTGTCCTTCCTCTAAAGATCGTGTGATAAAAAGGGGACGGAGCCCCACTTTGTATTGCTTTTCTTTGGCTTTGACACACTGAACCAACGATTGATTCAGAGTATTACAGTCAGAGACAGAGTAAAAGATATTACAGTAATCTGTGCAAAGATTGTGCAAGGATTTTAACATCTCCAGCCTGCAACAACACTTTAAAATCACCAATTTTCCAAATAAAAAAATCAAAATATTCGCTCATTCATCTTCCCAAAAATACATTGTTTTCAAAACCAATTTTTTTTTGAGAATTGCAAAACAAATTAAAGAAGTAATTCTTTAAAGAAAAAGATCGTAAATTTTGAATTCTAAATCGTATTCATCTGGGATTTCAATTAATCGAAAACTGGAAAAAGAAAGTTTTAAAAAAGATTTCTCAGATTTCTTTCAGATTTCTATATTTCGAATATGTTTTTCCATTGATGTCGACTAGGAGACAAGGTGGGCCATATCAGCTACAACGAGAGGCCGAACGTCTACCTTTGGAAGCGGTGAGTGACGTAGTGTTTCTTTTGTTATGAATAGATACGCCAGATTGATCAGCTGTTAGTTAGCTGATTGAATATTGATTGATAATTGATTACAATATTGACATTAGTAAATATTAGCTCCCACAACAAGTCCGATCTCCTCGATATCCGCGTCGTCTCTCCACACCGGCTCCATCGACATCAAGCGCTCCCTCGAGAACCTAGAGAAACATTCGGAGAACAAATCACAACTCCGAAGGTGGTTTTCAAGAATACTTTACCACTTTACCAGTTTCAAGAATGCTTTAACTTGAGAAAGGATAAACTTCAAGATTTCAGAACTATTTTACCATGTCTGTTCTCAAGGTTTCAGCAAGAATTTGCTGATGAGTCTGGTGAGTCTGGGCCCAGATCCAGATTCGATTCAGATCCAGATTTGATCCAGATCCAGATTCGATTCAGATCTAGATTCGATCCAGATCTAGATCTGATTCAGATTCGATCCAGATCCAGTTTCGATCCAGATCCGATTCAGATCCAGATTCCATCCAGATCCAG